TCAACAAGCAGCTTTGCTGATGCATTGAGTTGACAAGGAGTGCAGAGAAAGAATATATATATATATATATTTTTTGGTAATTTCTCTTTCTGTGATTGTTTCTAAATATGTAAATGAAGAAACATATAATGAGTTAGGTGGTGGGCTGGTCCAAATGCTCTTTTTAGGGGTTATGGGAACACATTTGACAAGTGTTCCGTTGAGGATAGTTTCAGTTGTTGAAGACATTGTTCCACAAAGAATTGGTTGGTTCACAAGATGAATAGCATGTGTTTTGGGGAAATATATGCTTAATGACTTTGTAAGATGGGTCTGTTCTTATACATTTAAAATTTGTATTTCTTTTATTTGTATGCTATATATGCATCTTTCATATATTAGTTGGTTCATTCCAGCAAAGACCAGGATTTGAATCCCACTGTCACAACTTTTATTATTCTTCCTTATAGTTCACTGTCCCATTTACTTGGTATTGCCCCTTGCTAGTACTTGTTGAATTAGATGGACAGCATCAGCTCGATCGCTATCACATTAAAACGGAGAGTGAGAGGCACTAGTTAAACTCGGGATTTTTCGGGAAATGACAGCCTAAACCAATTAGAGAGAGGTAGAGATGTCTCTAAAACGGCAGAACAAGACAAAAAAAAAATCTGGTATTTTACTTTTAGTAGGTGTATCGTGAGACAGGGTGCGGGAGATGGACAAAGTTTGTTTGTGCCTCAAATTAATCTGAAATGCATTAAGTTTTGATTAGTACTAAGTGTTTATGGGGAAGGACTAGAGAAGCTGCGCGCTATTGATCTTGCTGTAAAGCCGGGCAGACAATTTTCAATTACATAACCCATGCATGTCTATCCCAAATTCCCAATAGGCAATAGCCATGCATAGCAGATATATAGCGCTGTTGTAGGAACTAGCTAGCTAGCAAGGAAGACGACCAAATGATATGTTAGTATGCATACAGAGAAGAATATCCAACTACTAGTTGGATTAATCGAAACAGGCGGATCCAAGTGTTTGGATGGTCCCTACTCCCTACTGCCTCATCAGCTTCCTCTCAAGTCCTCGCCCTCCATGCACTCTGTTTCATTCTCAGCGGTCCAAATTCAACTGTCCATCTTATCTATACAAATGTTTGCGATGTGGTTTACGTGTGGCTGTGTGCATGTGCACTTAGTACTCAGCCACCCAACACCCAACCTAAAATATGAGTTCGGATCTCCTGCCCATGTTTATCGGAGCCATACATGGAGAACATATTGTGGGTAGGCGTGGGCAGAGTTCCCAATTCACGGGGGGTAGTGTATTGTGGGTAGGCGTGGGCAGAGTTCTCGTGGGTAGGTGATCTGGACTCCTAAAATATACGATACGTAACGTCCTTCAAGGCTTCAACGGTTCAACTAATTCTCACTATTGACCTCTCACCTATGTTTAGTTTTAAACTTTTAATTTTTAATTAGCAGGGACCCGTGCGACACAGATTTTATTAAACGAAAGTTAAATATCAGAAATATATAAAAGTAGATAATTATTTTATAATTTAATTTTTAAATAATTAATCATTAATTATATTTTATATATTGTTTTTAATAATTTTTTGCATCTAATATTTTTGATTGGTTTTGATTCAGCAAATTTTCAATCTGACCAAGTTAGATTAATTTTAATTTGATCATTTGTAAACCGATCAAAATTGAATTCAGCCAATTAGTGGACTTCTATTAGTGAACCAAATCAGCAATTTCCTGATCCTTCCCCCTCTTTCGCTCTATATCCAAGTTTTTACTCAATTCATTCAATTCCTACCTCTCCTATCTCATCTCTCTCACTTCTATTAGTGGACTTAGAACTCTAACATATATATTTTATTCTTCCATTCTCTCTCTTATACTAATTTTCTTCCAACCCTACCTTTACTTTCTTCAGGGAGAGACAATACGGACACCGTTATAGCGAAAGTTGTTAATAGGCAATATGCGGACACTTATCTGCTTAGAGATTTCCTTAATATCAACATTCAAACAATTCCATTTTTGTGTTAGGCCCTCTACACATCTTGAGATGCATGAAACCAAATCTGCACCCAACAACTGTCTCAACATATCTCATGTGCGCCAAATATTCATTTGGAACAAATATTATCCATTCGAATAGATAGAAAAAGATCATATTATTTCCTCCTCCTCTTCTTCCTATTTGTCAACCAAACTCAACAGAGTAACCAAATTATCATAGTTAGGCCACTCTCCCTCCTTTCTTCTTTTTCTCCTTTTTCCCTCTTTGTCAAGAGCTTGTAACAAAGTGCTTTTAATGTATCATTCATGAAGGTTGCAAGTATAAGAAAGAATGCTTTTTTGCTATATATGATAAAGACTGTTGGGGAAGAGAGAAAGCAAGAAATGGGCTTTGAACTATTATTTTGGAGTTTAAAAAATATATAGGCTTGAGAGGGTATTGATAAATAGTGTCTATCAACGGTTGTGAATTACCGTTAATTAGAAATATTACTAAATTTTTTATAATTATCAAAATTGTTGAATTGATGTTAGTAACAAAGTTACTATTTCTTATGATTAACAAAACTAAAAAATTATTGAATTCCTGTTAATTAAGAAAAATAAAAAAATAATGTTTTTTATACTTACCATCCTTTAATTAATAGAATCTATTGACATTCCTATTTAACAAAACTATAAAGTAATATGAGGGGCACCCATATGAAAGTTACTATTCATTAATTGGTTAACTAATGAATATAATTCACTAACAAAAAAAAAAGCATTTTAAATTTTAAGCAACCTAACAAAGTAAATTAAGATTTAATGGGTATTGTATACCCATTTAAGGTATCATAAATAGGTACAGTAATAAATTAAATTACCGTTTAATAAATATTTAATAAATTTAAGTAAAGTATAATAATTATAAGTTTTATTAAGCAACATAATAAATTAATTGGGTACCAAAAACCCATTTAAGGTGTAAATCTTAAAATGAGTACCCATTTAATAAGTGCACAACACATTTCACGAAAACAGGTAGGGTAACAAACATATATTATATATGCATCTGCACATATAGAAGCAATCCCTCTTTGGGTTTGTAGAGGTTTCCTCTCGCTCTTCTCTGAGAGAGTCTTCATTTCGGGGTTATCTTTGGGTTTCTTCTCCTTATTCACTTTTTGTCGTTCCTCTTATGACTTTGGTTGCTTTTGGGGGTGGTTCCCCTTGGGGAGTTACCCCTATCCCCTTTCTTTTCTTCCTATTCTCCCCCTTTCTTCTCTGTTTTCTTCTTCCTTTCTTCCTTTTCCTCACTCTTCTCTCTTCTCTTGATTAACTTGGTCCAATCCTCAACTCTCTTTTGTTCTCCTTTATTTGCTTGTTTTTTTTTTTCTTTTGTTCTTTTATGCAGGGATTCAATATAGGAGGCGGAGTGTTGGGTGGTGGCCTTAATCGCTACTTTGGATTTCACTGCCAGTGACCGTTTCCCTCTTTTATTCACCGGCATTTACAGTTCTGGGTTGTTACAGTTCTGACGATAACAGTTTTAGCAATTAGATTTTCGAGTGGTTAACATTCCCGTTGGTTCTCGTTTCGGCGATATCGGTTTTGGCAATTTTAGTTCTAGGGGGTTAAAGTTCCAATTGGTTCCACTTCCGGTAATAACAGTTCCGGTGGTTAAAATTTTCGGGTGGTTAAAGTTCTAGTTTTGGCGATAACAATTCCAGCAGTTATGGTTCTAGACTATTAAGTTCTAGTTAGTTCCAGTTCTGGCGGTTATGGTTTCGGATGGTTAAAGTTATGGCGAATCGCTACTGTCTTTATCCCTTTATTTTGGTGGTTGGAGATGTGCTCAATTGTTTCTTCTGATGGTGCTTCTGCCTCATCTAATGTCTATTGCAAAAGTTTCTTCCTTTTCTCCTTTATCCACTGTGAATATTTTGTTCTTTCTAGGGAATTGTATCTATGCTTTCTTGCTTCGTACTGTTACCAATTCTTTGTTGTTGATGTAGGGGTATCTAGCCAACCTATAGATCTTGGCACATGGCACCGGCCAGATGCATCTTGGCAATCCTACGGATCCTAACACGTGGCATCGGTTAGGTGCATCCTAACCACCCATCACCAACCACTGCCAACCGTCACCACTTGCTCCCAATTACTTCTCCTCACAGGCAACTCCAACTATAAAAACGGGCTCCCACATTAAGGTAAACACTCTCTAGAACTCAAGGTCTAAGTCTCCTCTCTTGCTTGGTTCGACCCCACGCAGCCCTTTGCTTAACCGTCGGAGTCTTCACCCCTAAGATAACTCCCAGGGCCTCTAACATCTTCTTTCTTTCTCTCAACAAATTGGACCAATCGGCCTCAGATGCTAGAAATTATGTTGTTGCCCTTGACTCCACATTTGGTAGCAACAATTGGCACCATCTGTGGGAATGTTTTCAAAACTTCCCCTTAAGAAAAAAACATAATTTAATCAACTAGTGTCCCTAAAATGGTTGACAAGCAAGACCTCGTCCCTTACGTTAGGAACTTAGTCATGATTGACTAGTTCGAGCTCGTCTTAAATAGGCTGGACAACCTGGCCCAGTGATTCGACAACATAGGGCGTCCGATAGGAAGCCAACCACAGGGTGGCCGCCCCGTCAGAAGCCATGGACAACACAACGGGCAATTTGCAAGTACCCTGCTAAGCCAGCACTTAGGCGGCCCAGAGAGAGTCGACCCCTCGGAGTTAGACAGTAGTAGTCGATCTACCAATGGACTGGCAAACCCCATTCCAAGAATCCTCAGCTCCCCAGTTAAGGGGTTGACCCTGTGGGGTCCCACGTCAAGCACAAGAACCTCGGCCATCAACACCATCATGTGACAACCAGCCGGGACGACGACGGGAGCTTAAGCCACTACAGTTCCACTTTAAGGGCAGGAGGCCGGCACCACGCCTCTCCCCCACCAATTTCTGACCTTTGTGACCTCCTTAACGATCATTGTGCCTACAAGGCTCAGGACGTGTCGGTGTCCGAGCACTTCGGGAACAGGGCCAGCCCATCCTACATAAGAGAGAACCAGGACCAGGCTGAAGCGACGATGCCATACATCAACCAGCACCTCAAAGATATTCAAGTGCAGATTAGCGCCATTCAAGATCAACTTCGGCAAGTAAAGGAGGGCCGAGGTGACGCCTCCACCAGTTTTGCTGCCTCATCTAGCCGAATGGAGGCGTTCATAGATTCCATCCTCTCCAAGCCCCTCTCGCCAAATTTCAAGGCCCTGTCGTTGGGGACCTATGACAGGAGTACAGACCCCAAGGATCACTTAGAAAGCTTTCAGACCCTCATGATCCTACACAGATACTTTGGTGCCCTCATGTGCCAAGCCTTCGAAGCCACATTCAAGGGAGCAGTGCACCAATGGTTCTCCACACTGCCTCCACACTCTATTGCCTCTTGGGGCGGACCTCTTCCTAGGTCATTTTATAAGCAGTTGACGGTGTCTAAAAATCATCATCTCCCTGATGTCTATCAACCAGAAGCACGAGGAGAGCCTTCGGGTATATATGATGAGGTTCAACCAGGAAGAACTCAAGGTCAAGGACCCGGACCCCTCAATTAGTCCTTTTCCAAGACTCCACCCAAGACTAAAGCTGAGTTCTTAAAAAAGATTCAGAAGTACATTACTGTCGAAGAGGTTGAAGCCAACAAACACCTCCAAGAATCGGAAGCCGAGGCCAACTGAGGGCCCAATGACAAGAAGAGGAAGGAAAGGGATGGCCACGACGATAGTCCCACCAACAAAGGTGGAGAGAAGAAGGCGTCGGCCCTTTTCTTTAATAAGTACACGCCACTAAACTTATCCCGAGTGCACATATTGATGCAAGTAGGGAATGAAGAATTCATGAAGTGACCGGGTACGTTGAAGAGGAACCCAATGAGAGACCCCAAGAAGTAGTACAAGTATCACTCGGCATCGGCTACGGCATCAAGGACTGATACGAGCTTAAGAACAAGATTAAGTCTCTCATCTGCCCTCAACTCCACATTTGGTAGCAACAATTGTCATACAATGTTTCTGTGCTTTCTTGCTTGGTATTGTAACCACTAATATTCATAAAATGACATAGTTGAATGAAATATAATTTTGGCCTTAAAAAAAAAAAACGGGTAAGGTAACTAGGTAAGAATGGGTATAGTTAAAAAAAGGTGAACATAGTAAATGGGTACCCTATAACCACCGATTTTCATTTGTCTTCTTCACCCGATCGATGGGGAATCAAGTTACATGAAATCCAAGCAGTGTTACCACTTTCTGTTTGGGCCATTTCAACATGAACTAAGCATGGAATCATCTATAAGAAAGAAAATTATTATCTCAAATCTATGAGAGAAAAGTTGGTTCTCCATTTCATTGTAAAATGCTTGTAACGAAAAAGAAAAATCAAAATGTAGGTTTTGATTTATATTTCCCAACTTGATAAAACAACAATTGAAACAAAGTAAAATGAGGGAAATAGAAAACGCTTCCCATAGTGAAGGTCTGACTGAACAACACCTTCGTATCTTCTCCTCAATAAGTTCTTCTCTATACCATCTGTTCTAAGATCCTGTCTTTGCACTTTGCTGGAATCAGGTTAATTGGGCCAAAACTAATATATTGCCCAGAGATTGCATTGAATGTGAAGTAGATGTCTCTCAAAGCAAAGCGACCCAACAATTCCTTCTCTCTCCTATACGTGGCCACTGGCCACCCATGAATTTGAGGTATCTTTGAGGTCAGCTACGGGTGCAATCTACATTGGCTCAATTTTGTCCAAGTTGATGGTTGTTCTGATCTTATTCGTTACTTACATATACTCATTTAAAGCGGCTAGCACTAGAGATATCAGAGAGTACTACCTAGGGACGAAAAGGTTCTTCACCCCAGAAAATACAAAAGCGTCATTCAACGATGTGTTAAAATTAACGAATCAGGCTCAAATTCACCATTGTAAACCTAAAATTAAATATGTTAAAATTTTAATGAAGTGTTAAAATTAAATCTCTTCAATAATTTCACCATTTATCACTCCACCCACTTTAGATGTGACTGGATAGACATGAATTTAAGACGTGATTGACCTTGTTTCCTATTCTAAGATTGCCATGCTAGATGGCAGCTCCATAGACTTTTAGAAAGAATCTTGCACCTCCTCTAGAGTTGCTCCCTTGGGGTAATAGAGCACAAAGAAGCCATCTAACGGGATATAACATTAATTTAGGAATAGATAGATATACAAAGCTTTAATTATCTTCATAAGTTGTTTTTTTATATATCAGTAGTTATGGAAATCGATTTGGCATCAATACTGAAACGAACCAGCTAACGAACAAACGAGCCACACACCCACGTTAATGCTCTAGTTGTAGAGGACGGCAAAAGTGCACATGGGCTGGGCTCTTTCTGGGCCTTATTATCCTCTCATGTTTTGTTAAAGTTGCAGCGGAAGCCTAACCTTATGATGAAGGGGTTTTTATAGTTCAGTCAAAACCTTCTTCGCAAGTGGCATCGCATGTCATGTGAGATGTCGATCAGAAGCCTTTCAATCAATTGCCAAGGGGAAAAATAAAAGGCTATAATTCAAAATCCAAATCAAATACGGCGTGGTAAACTGAGGAAACGACGTTTAATCTTTTGAAAGCCTCCCGATGGGGGGTTATTCAAGCCATCAAGGTATTGACTTGAAAAACATGTAGAATAATCCAAATTGGTGGTGGAGTAATTTCATTTCTGATGACGACCAAAATGTAGCTTGGCTCTGGTGGCTTTGAAGAAGAAAAAGAACGAATGTGGTGGTGGTCGTCGTTCACTCGTTCTCTCGTACGCATACTCGTTAAATCATTCGCTGACTGATCATGTAGTAGTGGCCTAGTGGGGGGTTTTCTCCTTCCAAGTTCCAAGTTAAATTCCAATTTCAAATTCAAACAACAACTTCCACGCAAGTCTCTACTTTAATCAAAATTTAAAAGTCAATTCTGATCCAATAACAAGACTACCATAATCGCGAAAGTACTTTGAACATTCACCTCGTGAAATGAACTTAATTAGGTAAAAGCCCTCCCATTCACCCGGGCCGGCCGGTTATAATATATAGTCTCTCGGAAGGCGATGTCGGATTTCTAGAAGCACAGCACTATAGGCAATAGTATCTCCCAATCCCAATTATAAAATACAAAAACCTTCCCTGAAGTTTCTGATAATATAAAAATTTCTCATATAGTTTTATTTTAGCAAAACTTTTCCTTCTATTTTTTATAAAATTAATAAATATTCCTTTCCGTCAATGATCAAGACGGAAAATGTTAAAGAGATGATATTTTTTTAAAAATACTTATATTATCTTTTCTCAAATACTGTTCATCTTTTTCTCGGTTCGAACCCAAAAGCAGAGGTAGCGGCGGCACCCCTCTAAATCCGATCTCTTCCTCTTCTCTCATCTTCTTCGCCTTCTTGTTCTTTTCCGTTATTCTTCTCCTTCATTTCTTCTTCTTCTTCTTCCTCTTCTTCTTCTTCTTCTTCTTCTTTTGTCATTGTTCCCTTCCATCGCCCCTGTTTTCTACCACCACCGCTGCAACTCTCAACAGCGGCGGTGCTTCATGCGAAACCTCTCCCTTTTCGCCATTCTCTCCCTCTCAATCTCTCTTTCCTATTACCCCTCTCCTCCTCAACATAAATCAATTGAAAATGCACTATTCCTCCCCTTCCCCGTTTGAACCCAGAAGCAGAGCAGCGGCAGCGGCACCCCCTCTCAACCACTCCCTTCCTCCCTCTCTCCCTTTCTCTCATTTTCTTCTTCTTCGTCTAGTTAGTTGGAAATACCCCCTGTTCTTTCCAACAACGTAATTTCAGGCGCATTACCGGAGACAATTGGAAGGCTGAAGAACCTTGAGTTTCTTAACCTTTCTGCTAATGCCTTGGTGGAAAAGATTCATCAGAACCTCACTGCTCTTCGAAATCTTACTGTCAATTACTTCTCTTGTGGTGTTCCAAGTGTGTTTGAAGCCGTTCAAGTTTTAGATATGTCTTCCAATCTGATTAACGGGTCGTTGCCGCCAGATTTTGGTGGAGTCAGCCTCCGTTACTTGAACCTCTCGTACAATAGGCTCGTCGGAAGGATTCCACCGGAATTTGGATAGCAAATCCCGGGGAATGTCACGCTTGACCTCTCGTTCAATAATCTCACATGACAAATCCTGGAAAACGTAGCTTTTCTCAATCAGAAAACGGAATCGTTCGCTGGAAACCCGGATCTATGCGGGAAGCCACTGAAGAACCTGTGTGTCGTGACTTTCGTTCTTTCTGCTCCACCCAATGTCTCTGAAATTACTTCTCCTCCTGCATTTGCAGCTATTCCGAACACCATAGACTCGACACCTGTAACCGGGTCACCTGGAACGATGAATGGGACTCAACAGCAAAGGCAGAGGGGTCTCAGACCAAGAACAATTGTAGGCATCATCTTTGGGGATTTGGCTGGTATCCGAGTTCTGGCTATGATATTCTGTTATGTTTACCAAGTAAGGAAGAGAAGGAAGAATGTGGTCAGTAGTACAGGATGCATAGAGAGGAAAGACGAAATGGACGGGAAAGATATCTGGCCTTTGTCATCAACGGAACCGAAAGGGCCGGTGTGCTGGTGCCTGGGAAAGAAAAATGACGACGGTGAAGAGTTGTCCGAGACGATGAGCATTGATAGTGATGAAGACGAAGAGGAAAAGTTGGGTGGTGAACAGCAGAAAAAGCAACAAGAACAGAAGGGAGGGTCTCTTATAATTGTAGACGGAGAAACGGAGTTGGAGCTGGAGACTCTGCTGAAAGCATCGGCTTATATATTGGGAGCGACTAGTTCGAGCATAGTATACAAGGCCGTGCTAGAGGATGGGATGACGCTGGCGGTGCGAAGGATCGGTGAGAGTGGTATAGAGAGATACATAGATTTCGAGAATCAGGTCAAGCTTATAGCTAAATTGTGCCATCCCAATCTGGTGCGCATACGAGGGTTCTACTGGGGTTCCGAGGAGAAATTCGTCATCTACGATTACGTCCCTTGTGGCTGCCTCACCAACTTCAGTTACAGTAAGTTCCTTCTTTTTCTCTCCTCGTCTGGTTGTCTTTCTCAGTCTGTTTGGTGCATAGTAGCAAAAACAAGTAACGTTGTACTAAAATGCACGGTAATGCTAGTTTCGCTGTGTAAAGGTGCAACCGTGGAACTGAGAAGTTATTCTCAATGCCCGGAAAGCCAACTGCCCGTGGTAGGCCGTTGACCAGGCTTTGCAAAGCCCTCTGCGGCTAACGATAGTGAAAAGTTTATGATTGTCAGAAAATGAAATGCAATGCCACCCATTACAAGATAATCTGGGCTGATTGGTAATCTGTTCTGTTTTCATTGGAAATGCATTGCTCTTTCTCATGTCCTAGTCTGGACCGCCATACCGCTATCACTGGTGCCGCCGCTGCCTCTGCTTTTGGGTTTGAATGGAGAAGATGAATAGTGTTTAAGAAAGGGTAAAATAGGTATTTTAAAAAAATAATCATAGGTTTTTGTTAAAATTAAATTATAGGAAAAGTTTTTATAATTGTCAAGGTTTTTTGTATTTTACCCTTAATGTTTAGATGTCCCCATCTACGGCTCTACACTACCACCTCAATAAATTTATCTATATTCTAAATGAAGTATCTTTATTAACTCATTCAGGATTAGGGTGACCACACACCAAGTTTTTTACGAATTAATCGAGTTTGACTTATGAAAAGCTTGATTCACTAGTTCGTAAAAACTTGATTCGATTGGTCTAAAACCTAAATTTTGAACTGAGCCTGAATTTAATATACAAGCTCTTTTATTAATTGAATCAAGCTTGAATCAAATTAAACTCACATCGTGAGATTTACGAGCCTAATTTTTAACTTTTATAAAACGTTTAGAGCATATAGTCAAGCTCAAACCAAGATGAACTCAAATCAAATTCGAGCTCGAGACTCATAATATATTAACGAACCAAACTTAGATAACTAATAACTGGATATTCGGCTCGGTCCACCTCTTGGATACGGGAAGGGAAATCAAGAAATGGGGTTATTATTTAACTTATTTTGACCGTGAAAACTATCGGTCAGTCAGACCCAAATACGTCACTGCATCACCTGATCCACAGTTGAACTGTCCGGTCCCGTCTGACAACATAATTCCTCCGTAGCCCTAATTTGCTACATGTAATGTAACAACTAACAAGATAAGAGCTATTATTAGAAATAGGGCAATCAATGCGGGCGGTACTGGCACTACTACACAAAAAATTCACTTCATCCCCATTAAATTATTAGAAGTAAGGCAATCAAATGCGGGCGGTACAAAAAATTCATCTGATTCACATTACTCATTTAATATATCATAAATTATTAGAAGTAAGGACTTGTTAGTTATAACTCTCTCATTCATTTCTCATAAACACGTTACTCATTTAATATGTCATAATGTTTTCTCACGGATCAGTTTGGAAGGATTAAAAATACAAATACGTAGAGTGGAAAATTTTACATTTTGTATTTATTTTATATATATTTATATTTATACTTTTTTCAATCTGAACAGTTCCAAGCCTCATTTACTTTTCAGTAATTTATTTATTTGGGTAAGTGTTTTTTGAGAAATATTTATTTGAATAAGTGTATTTATTCATATTTTTTTATTTTTTATGTAACTAAGATAATGACCGTTTTACCATAAAAAATCATTATTAAAAGGGACATTTTTGTCCCATTCAAGTGTTGACAACTTTCTCCTCGATGGAAAAGTTATTTAGCCTCCTAGGAGATAAGTATCAATTACCCAGGAAAATAAAGTTTTCTTGATCCCCACAAAAATCTGAAAAATGAATATAGATTTCTTAATCAATGGGAATCAAAATCCCATTGACCAATTCCCCACCCCCTCCCTCCCCCCTCTCAAAATCCAAAAAAAGAAGAATGCCTCCTAAAAAGAATACAAATACAAATATGTTCAATATAAATATATAAAATAGAACTCTATACATTTGTATTTGTACTCTTTTAAAAAAATAAGCCTAAAAATCAATTACACCACCCATTGGAACCCAGGGCTAAAACCATTCCACTTTTTAAATTTGATGGAGTGACCTAAGGCGGGACATAAAAAAAAAAAGCACAGAAGACATGATCCTCTCAAGACGGAATCTTTTACGAAGAAGTATGGAAAGGCTCAATGCAGATTTTTGATTTTCACTGCAGAGTTATAAACATTCAAAATGTCGAAAACCCCCACTCTATACATTAACGCTCACCCGTAAATTGGCATCAATTCCGAACTGGCACCCACCCCAACTGTACTTAATTTGGGTCTAAAAATTTTGACCCTGGGCTGAACCATCATTGTCCCAATCTTTTATGGCCCAAAAATGAATTAGGCTGATGTGATTGGTACAATATTTATAATATTATGGGAAAAAATGTGAACTATTTTAATTGTTGTCAGCATAAAAAATTGAAGCCATAGGCATATATAGTTGGTTGTATTGCTGAATAATGTAGAAACTGCAAAGCTTTTGTCCCCTCATCTACTATATAATTAAAGTAAAATATTATGCGCAGTTGCAGTTGGACCATGCACTGCTAGACTCAGTAGAAAATTTTCTGCTATATATTGTTGGTTCCAGAAAGTGCATGGCTGCAGCTGCAATAATCTAAGTCGCTAGAGGATCTTCCTCTTAATTTTAGGCTGTGACCCAATTAATTAATTTTTCGATTTTGTGCTTCCTATTCGGATATATTAATTAGTTGCAATTTGCTGACAAATGAAAGCATGCATCGATCTGAGACTATATATTCATCTTCCATGAAACAACGCCAAGAACTCTGGCCGGCTTCTTTAGTCTTCAATTAATTCTTTACTTTCAAATACAAAGTTCATAAACAAGTAAATGGTGATAACTACTCCTATGAGAAATTAAACCATCATTTTAGATTCTTTCTTCTTCTACTTGAAAACTGAAAAGAAGAGAAAGAACAAAGGATGAAGTTGTACATATATAGGCAAGATATGTGGTGAAATATAAAAGGGAATAAGGACAAATTAATTGCTTCAAGATCAATGTTATGGTGCATGCTTCATCTACTCGATCATGTTCTTAAGAAAACTATATATATTTTCACATATATATATATATATATATATATGTATTCTTTCCTTGTCGGACACGGTCTAGGGGCCGTGATCTATTCAAACGCAGCTAATTATTAATTAATTAATTAATTAATCCTAGTTATCAGTATTGAAGATAGTGATTTGTACACAATGTCTACAGCCTTAATCTATGATTCTATTCTATTCTAAAGATTCTTTTCCCACAATGTCCATTATCGTTAATATGAAAGTGGCAACGGGATAACAGATAAACCATTGTTAGTTACCACGTCATGATACGGTCTCAATCACAAATCTGGAGATTGGAGAACAATTTGACTCTTAAATTTTGCTTAATTAATTTGATAGGTAACTGCCACTATAATATAAGTTGATTGGTTCGGAATATAGTTTTACTGCCTCTCAAGTCTCAATTGGTTCGGTTAAGATTACAAAAAATAAAGATAATGTTTTCTTTTTGTAAATTGTATTTATTTTCTGTTTCTTTTAGGAAGGTCCTTGTACATAAAAACACTCAGCAACTGTGTTATACCAACTCATATATTGCATTGATAACAGCTAAAGCCTTTTCAAGATGACAGCTGGTCGATCTGCGTCATTAGGCCATTAGCCACGCAAATGATGAATTTAGTGATAATGATATTCAACTGTTTCATCTATTTTTTTACAGTCAACTATTACAGTGCTAATTGACTACGGTGTTAATTAAAATAAGTAAATAATAACATCCTTAAGATGTTGGCTACCCTCAATTAGGGGTGCAAATCTCAGGTTCAGGCATGATCCAACCTGAGGCCAAGCCCAAATTTATTAATCCAGGCCCAATCTAAGTTTAACCCACCTGATGAGCTGGATTGAGGTTTTGTTTGAGTGGGCCATGCTTATTCAAGCTTGGGCGTACAGTCATCTTCTATTATTAGACTTTATAGTCTGCGAGCAGATTGCAGAACTGATTTAACATATGTACAACCACGGTTAAATGAAATTTGGAAAATATAAAATTTTTCAGGAAACCAATTCCTTTAGGTCATGTTTGGTTTGAAGGAAAAGATAAAGAAAGAAACAAATATCATACCAATTCCTTTAGGAGCAATCAACTGAAATTAATTAGATGAGCCAAATACTGAACAAATATCATACCAATTCATATCAGTTATCACATTGGATAAAGTCATTTTGGCTAATAGGTGGCCTGCCTCATAAGCCACGCCATGGATGAATTCAATGATGATATTGAAAACCATTCATATTTTCTTTACAGTGAGCTATTATAGTGCCAATTCGCTATGATGTTATTATAACAGTAACCCTTAAAGATGTTGACTGTTGACTATTCTCAACGCGTCAACTTCGAGCACAAGCCATGTCCATACGTGTTCCTTTCCATCTAAAAGCCCAAAAAAACCTTGACCTCTAGACCGAATAAGCAAAAGCTTCTGTCTCACTCAGTGGGTTCCCTCGATCATCGTCTCTGTTACAACCTGGTTGCATCCCCCTATTTTAGTGTCAGTCTAGGGTTTTTTTTTAAGGTAGCTTATTCTTTATACATTCAAAATCATTTGCATTGTTATAGTTTTACAGCAGTACAAACTTATTTACATTGCAACCAAATACAGTTTTAATGCTTTTGGCAATACATATTTTTCATAAATTTGTATTATATTGATACATCCAAAACACAACAATAATGATGCAACGCCACTGTGATGAATACCCCCCAAACCCAATAGACATTATTTCAATAACTAGAAGAACTATGGGTGATTATTTTTAGCCAGGCCTTGAAATTTTGAACTTTAGGCCCTAGATTTTGAATTCAGGCTTAATTCAAATTAGGGCTCAATACTTCAAGCGTCACCCACACAGCCCATGGTTACACCTAAACAGAACCATTTGAATCATTAAAATCTACGAAACCCCGTTAATTCAGAATGCTATTATACTTAATTTGTTATCCACCACTAGCGTAAAAGCACACGCCATGTGTGCAATAAAAATATCATATTTTTACTATATTTTAAATATCTTAATTCATTATTCGATTTAAAATTTAAATATTTAAATAATTACCTTTTTAAGCATTGACACTATAAGATATTATTAAAATATTATAATGAACTTTTATGTTGTGAACGTGAAACAAGTATCCACATTATATAATAAAACTGTAGACTGTAATTTATATAGCGCTTTTTATTTGGTTCGGGAATTGGTATAAAATTTCCAAAAAAGAATTAAGCTCCGTTAGATGGGATTATTAACCGTATTCACTAAAGGCGGGCAGGCTGCAACAGCAATCTAATTTCAATTTTGGAGAGGTTTTTGAATTGAAGGCAGCAAATTCCACAAAATCCCACTTGGAAACTTTGCAGTCAATACCTAGATCCTAGCCGAACCACTTCTAGAAGCTTGGGCCCCACAATTGGAGTTAATTACTTACATATTATAGGTGGAAGCAGATGTAGCCACTTGGCAATTAAATGACGTCTCTGTCTACTTATTACTTATGAGACGTAGAACCAACTCTTTCGTCTGCCGGTAAAATGATAGAGCCACACCCGTAGGCGGTAAAATGATAGAACATTAGAATCACCACCACTTCTACAAACGGGGTCCCACTCCCATCGCTTGGCTATCCAAAAAAGTTAGCAGCTTCAAGATGCCGTAGTCGTCGGGGCGATGTCATTAACGATCAGATCACGGTAGAGAATATATACTATGTTCAACCTCTGGTGCGAAAGTGGTTAGTCCACGTTCGGTACCCTTCCTCCGATAGAATTTGTGGATGACCCAGCAGTAGTCGAGATGTCAATAATATACATCCCTGGAAATAGGAGATGCAGGATTTAACCCGCATAACCACAAAACTTTCTATGGTATGGCCAATGGGCATCACGTGCGTATCCTTATTCTAGCTACAAGCCTACAACATGGTTTTAACCCCCGCACTAACATTTGTGAAATCAAAGCCTTTTGATGTATTCCATACTGTAACCCCATCTTAAATTAGATGAAATGATGTTGTGGTGGGGTTATATCAATAGACCGAAGGCCATGGCTCATGGCTACATAGCAAAAGTATATAGAGAAAGAGCTTTCTATGTGTAGGGGTGCAGGTCAGCCAAGGTTAGGTTGGATTGAGGACAATCCCAACCCAATGCAAGGTTTTGAATTCCTAATCCAGCAAATTCAACCCTAACCTGAATTTTCTCCATTTTTTTCTTAAAATCTCTCAAATTCTTTAGATATTTTGGCTGTGTTTAGTTGCAAAAGAAAGGCCATTTCCTTAAATAGTAGTAGGATATCATTCCATCAGGAATGGGAACAGAGTTTGATTCCATCCAATTTAAACAGTTGGAATCCATTCCAAAATGCAGACCCTATTCCTATGAATCAAAAGGGCCCTTATTTGTTTTTCATTTTAAGTACGTGAATATAACGAGGATAAGGACCAAGGAATCGTACATAAACAGATGTCCCCTTGATGGGTGGTGTAGGTTAATTGCCCTCTACGTGGCCAGAACTCAGAAGTCACAACCTCCTCATATTTGGGGAGAAAGATTTAAGCTATTCTACGGACTGTGAAACGAATGATAAAGTTTCACGCCAGAGGCCTGCGCCTTTCACATTAGGGGTTAGGGCCCATAAATTTATTACTCAAGTAGAACCTCATCATTAATTCGACAGTCCGCTAAACAGTCAAAACGTTCAGCTAACCCGAATAGATATTTGGGTCAGTGATCCAGACTTGTCCATTTTTCTGTAGTCCGGTTATGAACGTATGGTTCAAATGGTAGGAACAGCCCTTTTTAAGTTTTTAGGGGTTTTAATTTGGTTAACGTTGCTAATTTGTCAAGAAGAATCAGATTCTAGAAGAAGACTAGAGAGACTAGTCAGTAGAAAACCCACGTTATAGCTGGCACCGTTGAAAACATATCAGCAACCGTCGATTTAGAAAAGAGATTCGTAGGGGTAGACCAGGAATACATTCGATCAGTCCGCCACCTCTAGACGGCGACCGTCAAAGAAAACCACAACGACTGGATGCTGACATCATCCAAACGCGAAGATGGAGAGCCACTGGAAAGTCTCGAATACAATTGTCTTTGGCACTTGGCAGCAATGTGAGAATATTAAGAACTGAGAGAGAAAACACAGGGAAAGGGGCAGCAGCGAGCGAAGGAGTAGCGACAGAGAGAAGTCAAGCGTTGCTTGCTTGAACCCCACGCTTCTGGCAATCAACCTTTTTCTTCTGTTATCTCCCGAATTTCGATCCGATCCACGCCTTATATAGCCCTGGGAATTGATAAATCAGGCCGTCTTCCCCTCTTCGGCGCCTGAATATCCAAGACATAAATACTCAAAAGCTATTACCGTTTTTTTTTCTTCTATTTCATTTTTAAGCAAAAGGAGAAAGAAGATGCATATATATAAAAGAGAATTTGGGGTATGAGCAGGAGCAGCAGTTGCAGTTCCACTTGTGAGTAATCACTTTTATTATTATATGCTAATGACGAAGAAAGACGACACCACCACTCACGGCCGCCGCCGGTTCCTCCACCTGCTCGTTTCCAATCAATCAGCGGCCCATGGAATCTCTCACCTCCACTTTCTCCTTCTACTACTCTCGCTGTCGGTTCCATTGGTATCTGCGCAGCCCAGCAGTGAGAATGATCAACAGCCGTACAGGAATTTTAACCCCTCCATGGCCATCATCATTATCGTTCTCATAAGCGCATTTTTTTTCATGGGTTTCTTCTCTATTTACATACGCCAGTGTGCCGAAGACCGCAACGGTGGCAGCATCCGGCCGGCGAACATGGTTGGACGGTCCCGAAGGGCTGCTCGGGGGCTTGACCCCGCCGTGATCGAGACTTTCCCCACCTTCATGTACTCCGTCGTCAAGGGGCTTCAATTAGGGAAGGGAGCACTGGAATGCGCCGTATGCTTGAACGAGTTCGAGGACGACGAGACGCTTCGGTTACTCCCCAAGTGCGACCACGTCTTTCATCCCGAGTGTATCGACGCTTGGTTGTCTTCTCACACCACCTGCCCCGTCTGCCGAGCTAACCTCGTGCCGGGATCGGGAGAAGACGCCGCCGCCTTGGAACAAGTGCCTGATGATACCAACGGAGAGTCGGATGTGGAGAACCCGAGACCGGAGGTCAGAGAAGATCAAAGTCAAGGCGGTTCTCTCCACGTAATCGAGGAACAGAACACAGAGCAGCAGGCGGCGCCCGACGTCATAAGTCCATGTCAAGTCCCGATTCAGAACCGGCCTCCAAGAGCGAAATCATCGAGAAGACCACGATACACGGGGAAATTCCCGCGGTCGCATTCGACTGGGCATTCGCTCGTGCAACCGGGAGAGAACTGCGACCGGTTCACTCTGCGGTTGCCGGAAGAGGTGAGGAAGCAGATAATGAAAGGGAGGCTGAACCGCACGACGAGCTGTGTAGCGTTTCCGACAGAGGGGAGCACGAGAAGGGGATATCGGAGCGGAGGAGAAGGGAGCAGCCGAGGGAAGAGTTACAACAATAACAATACCACCAGTCAGTTAGTAGAAGGGATGGACCGCTCGGCAAAATCGGACCGGTGGGTGTTCTCGATGACGCCACCATTCTTCACGAGAACATTCTCGACTAGGTCGGCTAAGGCAGGAGCGGACGGAGAAGCAGCAACCACTCCGAAGGCATTCTTTACGTCTGTGAAGACGCCGTTCGATTGTCTCGGCGGGAAACCGGAAGGTGCCGAGTCGTCGTCGACCAGGCCGCCTGTTTGACGGTCGGCCTTAGAATATAAAACTACATAGTTTTAATTATTTTAAAAGTCTGTTTCTTTTTTTTATCTAAAAAAAAAACTCTTGCTCTAGGCAATGGCCTTGTCGCCTTAGTTTATTTTCTTTGTAATTTGTTTGGCACGGAAACTAGGTTAGGTTTTGGCGGAGGAAATGTACATAATAATTTTTTGGTTTGTGATGTTAATTTATAATTAATCTAAATGTATTGATGTACCTTTCATTAACTATTGATATGTGAGGTTGTTTTGGGTGTTGGCAAGTTGGGCATGCAGATGAAGATGTGATGAACTGATGATAGATAAAGGGAAATTGGAATGGCGACGACTGTTGTTTCCAATGGGATGAAGTTGGAGGGGGAAAAGTCAGTGTGGCATGGAGAAAAAGAAAGAAGCTAGTGGAATCCGTCTGCCTCTGCTGGTATATAAAACAGAGAGCATTAGCTTGTAACTTTGAATTTGGCTCTTCCATCTTTAGCTTATGGCATGGAAGGAGCAGGTGGAGTGAAGAGAAGAGCCACCGGCCGGTGGTAAGCACGATGGATCAATCACGTGAGCCATGTTGTGAGGTGTGACTGAATACCGGTGGCCGGTGGGAAAACATGGCCAAGGAGCGGCATCCATATTTTAGTGTGACTCAACCGAAAAGGCATCTCCTTTTTAATTGAAGATAAAGATATCCCATGCCACTCTCTTCTCGTGAGCTAGCGCCTAGCCAACAGCGAAGACCTTTGTGGGGTTCTCTCTCTGTGCCCACTTCCCAAAAAAAGCAAGGGTAATGTGTAATGAAGAGCTCGAGAGTCGAGATTAGTGAATCTAATGTAAATGTAGGCCTCGTTTGGTATGTCTTTTCATTCCGTCTCTAAGATTAAGCGAGGGTAACGAGTAATGATGTGTTGTATCTGCACATGTCAAATATATATTAAGGCTGCATTTGGATGAAATGTAAATTAGGGTGTAATTATTATCATATAAAAGGCATTTGGATGCAATGTAAATTAGGGTGTAATTATTATATGTCAAAAACTGTTTTAGATCAGTTTTGTGTGTGTTTTAATAAAGTGGAGTTTTACGTTAATAATGGTTGTAAAGTTTCATCAGCTTCAAAGCTTTACATCGACAATGGCTGTAAAAACTATATCAATTTATCCATATAAAATTTTATACTCTTTCACCCACTACGATTTTAAAAAAAGCAAAAATCAGTTTCTGATTTAATATAAGATTCCGTTTTTTTACTTTCATCGGAGAGTCACAGCAGGGGCTCTCCCTTTCCCTACTGTAGAATTAGGTTTTTTTTATTTGGTTTGCGATATATTTAATTGCCAATATACTGAGAGAAGATGCAAAAACCCAAAAGAGACAATTTTTTGAAAAGCTTCAAACAGAACTTTTGCATTATTTTTATTTGTAAAAGCTTAATCCATCTTTTACTGTGAAAATTACTAGAAAATCTTTTTAAAAGACTTAACAAACCGCCCGTAATTAATGTCTCTCTGTTCTGTCCCGTATATGCTCTATCATCACCGCATCATAAACCAGAGAGAGAGAGAGAGTCTAATCATTTATCAATGGGAGATTCTCCCACTGTGCGGGTGCGGGTGCGGCTGAATGTGAATGTCATGCTCGTGCCTTCGACTGTGTTCAGAATTTTTAGTTGCAGCAGATCTCTTCTGCAACTGCAAATCCCGTCGCCTATCATTGGAGTTGGAAGGGAGACGGGGGAGGTTGCCTCACTGACACCAAAAAGTTAAATAAGATATTTTCTTGTTTTGGCGTTGCCTGAGTAGTTATACTTTAGTGTATAGGAATAGGACAACAAAGTTATTTTCCACCGTCAGGCGTCACCGTCCTGTCCCAAGGACAACAAGATAAGACGTTCACCAGCTTTTTGATGCCCCTTCGGTCCAGAATTCACCTTCTCTCTACGACTCTACCCGAGTCTAAAGGAGCGCAAGAGATAAGCTGATTAATCACTCGCAAAGCGCACACTCATGTCCTCACTCCAAAACATCTACCGTCATTTATACTGTTATTGAGATGTTTCCAATTTGAACTCTAAGAACGGATCCCAATTCTTCTGGTTTCATTCTCTTACATATTTGGTTTTAGAGTTTAAATCTATTTATTGGGTTGCATTCCGTTCGGAGTTGAGATCAACTGTTAACAAAATGTGTTTCAACACCCTCAAAATGTGATTGGACACCGACATCTTATCATGTTAATAAGGTGCTGGAACTTTTAACGAAAAATAAAGACAGGCCAATGCAGATTTCTGAATTCCACTGTAGAATTATAAATACTCAAAATATTAAAAACTCATGCTTTATACATCAATACTCCTCCGTGAATTAGCATCAAATCCGAAGTGACACCCATTCCAACTGTACTCTTGGCCTAAAAATTCTGATCTTGGGCTGAACCGTCATTCTCCCAATTTTTAATTCAAGTATTGTGAGGTGGGTGTGAGCATCAACCGTTTTTCTATAAAAAATGATGCTTTCAAGCCATGCCTTGGAAATCAAGAAACCATGGCTTGGAGCAAGGCCAAATTTGGTGTTTCCTGGAGTTTCAGTTCGTTATTATCAAGGTTCAAAGTATCGACACGTATTCGCCGATACGTATTGTTTTGGCACCCCACCAATACCCACCTACAGTGGGTGTATCGGTGGTCTAACCGGTTCAGGGTGTGGCGAAGACCTAAATCGGCTCCCTGAACCAATTGGTGAAAAAAAAAAAGAACCACCAAAAGGAGTTATCGGTTTGCCCGATACGCCCATACCGGCGCATCAGGCATATCGATATTTTGAACCTTGATTGCTACCAACAAGGCAGTGATGTGGTACTGAATAATGGGTACTAGTGCTGAAAACATTTCATGAGCAATGATACCAAACAGAAAAGATTACTGTTGCTCTAAAAAACATTCTACCTAGCAGTAACGATTCTAAACAAAAATAAAAACACCATTTTTTGAGAAAATAATATCCCAAACCACACGTCAGCAGTACTGCAAGTGCAGCATTGATGCCAAACATATAGCAAAATCATTGCTTACCTACATGCCAATATGAGTGGTTTGCTTTTAAGTGTTGAATCCAGTTAGGCAATTGCTCTAAAAAACAGACTCTGCTAGTTTAATTCTAATAGAGTTTAACTTATTAACTATAAAGATAGCCCTTTTATCATTCTTTCTTGTCTGTTTTAATAATTTTTTTTCAGCAATTAGACTGACCAAGCGATCACCATCTTAATTTAATATTTATAGGATTTCCGGTAGATCCAGGTTTATCTAAAGGCTGACCGAGCCCGTTCTTGACCCGTTTGGAGTCTCCAAGGTCCAAGCATTTTGGAATTTAATTATCCCCACGGTTGCTTTTTTTGTTTATTTTACTGGATGCTTGAATTTTTCTTATCTTTTCCTTTTTGTAAGGTAGTATAAATTAGTGGACTTATTTATTGGCCTGTTGTACCAATACCCCTGAGTCTAGATGATGTATTGCTCAAATAAAAAAAGTAAAACAAAATAAAATTTGGTGATTTTTACTGTGGGATGAATATATTCTGGCCTATTATAAAACAACCCCGCATACATTATCAGTAATCCACAAATTTAAAGTTATTAAACTGGATATCAAACTTCTGCTACGTGGCGCCGTAGTGGTCCAGGGCCTGCATCATATTTACAATTTTACATATTCACACTCCCGACAAGTCACAACTAATGAGAGGAAACCCTCAACCCCCTTCAAAACAATAATAATAATAATAATAATAATAATAATAATAATAATAATAATAATAATAATAATAATAATAATAAATAAATAAATAAATAAATAAATAAATAAATAGATAAATAAATATTTTCGGTTTGGGCCTTCATGGGCTGTTCAATCCACCACCCTACGCTACGCCCAACAGGAACAGGAGCACAAATGAGTGAGAATCCTACTAACCGGGGATTATGGGTGGGTTTCGAAGGACGGCCTGGCCTGTCCAGTGTCCACCACCACAATCCATCGGAAACTCAGAATTACGTGAAATTTGGGCCGCAGTGTTTGGAGTGCTCTGACCACTACTAGACACTTAGTCTATACCCATCGTAGCGTAGGACGGATGAGTTTAAATAGGTGCAAATAGAGCTCTAGATTCTAGAAGCACAGGTTGTTGTGTATTTGAGTCAGGCGAGTTTAAATGGACAGTGTAGACACCATCACTAATTAATGGTCTAATCCTTCAGAATTTCATGGTTAAATAATTAAATTCACTGCATAAAAAGAATTTTGTTTGGGTTAGCGTCTGGGCTCAGTCTGAGTTAACAATGATGGCGATGGTGTGTTAGGTTGGATAACACCCAACTAAAGGCTTGGTCAAGCCCCAAACCAGGTCAAGATTAACCAACCCAATACACCTGTGACTTATGACCCCTAAATTGAAGCTAATTGCATTTTGATTCTTATCTACAACTTTGAAGAATGTGCCATCCAAATTTGTCCCACTCCCACTTGATGAATGTGAATGAGATAGCTAGTTGGCCATCGATCCGCATATAGTCCTGGGTAATTAAATCTCTCTGTCTCAGCCCTCAGGGGGAATAATCATATGATGGTAAGTATTTAACTTACCAAAGGATTACAAATACTGGTCCTTGTGAGTGGCCTTCCACTACATTCTTTCCTTGTTAACATGGGCGATCACATTCTTGATATGATAACCTCAAATCTTTATGAAAATCTGGGTTAGGTTTTGGGCCTATGTCATTAATTAAGTTTTATATAATATGAGCATAAAATATGTATATATTAGTATTTATTTAATAGATTGATTATGATACCAAAAAAAAAACTTATGACCAATCAATTAGTATCATAAAAATGAGTCAATCAGGTGGTATATATCAAAATTCATTTAGGGGGTTTGATTGATAAAAGCCCTTCACCCTTCAGATATCATATCTTCCAGGCAGCATAGGTTTTATTTTATGTATAATTAATTAATATATTATGGGCTATGATGGGCTTAGCGTTGACCTCATTCTTGGCCCTAAAATTTCATAACACCAAAACCTAAGCCCATGCCCAAGAATTTCTATACTAGGATGGGTTGGGCTGAACATGATCATTCTACTCAAATCTGACAATAACATAAAGCCAAAACGAAGTCTGGGCTCTTAAAAGTGTTTGGTTGCACAATCACAATAGTTTTAAAAATCAAACTTTCTTGTACAATCATAAGAAATTTTGGTGATGGGATTTCAATTTCTACCCATTGTCCTTACATTTTGTCTTGTATAAATACAACAGCGTGCTATATTATCGAGTGGTGGTCAAGGATAACATCTCTACAGACAGTATCGTCAGTACCCCTGCAAAGAGTTGGTCGACGGTGAATACTATATATGTACAGCACAAATATAAATATGTACAGTACTCAGTTTGAAAAGAGTGTAAATATAAATATGTACAGTATAAATATATATAAAATAATATAAAATATAAGGTTTTGTATTCTATATATTTCTATTTGTATTCCTCCCAAAATGCAAATACAAATTTGGAAGAGGTACAAATACAAGTTTGTAGAATGTAAAACTTTATATTTTGTATATATTTATACAGTACATATTAGTATTTGTGCTCCTTCCAAACTGAGCCTAGCTTCCACAAAGTAATACCAGTTCAATGGAAAACTATGTTTGGATTTCAAAACAAACACAGCCTTAAATTCGGATATTCTTCTGAAATAAAATTATTTTTATTCAGTTTTAATTTCCTTGGATTTATAGTTGTATTTGAATTTCAGATTTTGTTGGTTACCCAACAAATAAATGCCATATGCTTTCGCAAGTGGTCTATGCCCTTTTGCGAAGAAAAAGGCATTTAGCAAATCCCATTCATCCAGAAAAAGTTACAAGAGGTATTTAGCTCCAAATGATACAAGTTTAAAGTATAGATTAGGGATGACAATTTTTGCTGTAAGATCAGGGCTCCATCCCGATCAGTTTGATTAATCAATTCTTTTGATTTGTTTTCCTCGATACAATTCAGCTTTTCAGTTTTTGTTGATCATCTCTAACCTCCAATCTGTAATTTTAGTGTACATTTTTCTTTTGAGTGAAATGCATATTAATACCTTTTACTTTGTACCGGGTTAGTCTCACTTTAGTATTTAAATTTCAAAATGTGCTATTACAATACCTGAACTCCTGAAAATTGCTAATTTAGTACCCACTATTAGTAGTCCATTAATTATCTGTGTCACGTGACAACAGGTGTGACTTAAATTTTTAAAATACCAAAACACCTGTGACAACAGGTGTGACTGAAAAAGGATTACAACGACGCAGTCTAAATCTCTTTTCTCTGGCAACATTTTCCATGTAGCTTCTCCAATAGGAAGCATAGGTTCTTTAATTAGTAGAAAGATTTATACATATAAAAATAGTATATATAATGTTTAGTTTTTAAAGCTATAATAATAATTAATTTTTATAATTCTTAAATTTTATATGTAAAACAAAAATAATTTTTTATATATGTAATTTTTATTTTTATAGAAAACTTGGCTTACAATCATGCTTGAGTCAAGCCAAATTCGAGCTCAAGTATTTAGCCCGAATTGAGCTTGAGCTCAAGCTTCATAATTTTTTGACGAATTGAACTCAAATAACTAAATATTTGGTTTGGCTCTGAATTTACCTCTAACTCATAGCTTGATGGTACAAAAAATTGCTAAAATTTATAACACATCCGCCATACTATTTAGCAAAAGACGTGATTGATTAAACATGGTGACAAGTACATCTTCTTAAAATAAAAAATCTTTATCTATATATTAAAATGCAATGTGCCAAATTAGCACTTTTCTACTCTATTGTTTATTTTGAAAGCCACTTATCTCTTTTCTGATTTCTTCTCAAAGGCACCTATCTTTTTTTTTTTTTTTTTGAATTTTATAATTTTAAAGCGAAATAAGTCAATTGATCAATTACCTTTAAGAGTTTTAACACTCATCGTTAAAACACCATTAACTCTCTCTCTCTCTCTCTCCCCCCCATTAACGCTTACATTAATCTCTCCTCATTAATTATGCCATTAATTCTCTCCTTCAATAACTCATGCCACTAATTCTCTTTCATCTCCATTACTCCATTAAATTTGCATTAAACTATAATTATCATTAAAGATTAATTATATTGAAATTGAGATGTTCAATGATATATTATTGCACTAAATAATCTACTTCCATTGAAAATTATAATCCATTTATATTCCATTTGAAAATAATTAAAATGAATTAATCATAATAAAAATAATTTAGAAAATTACTTAAATAAAATAAAAATAATTATTAATTATTGTTATTGATAAAAATATTTTTATTAATATAAAAAACAATTTAATTAATAAAAGGATTAAGATAAATTAAAAATGAATATCAATTTAAAATTAATATAAAAATAATACAAAACTATCTAACAATTAGTTTTATAACTAAACTAAAAATAAAACTTTATATAGTTAATTACATTTAATAAGGAATTTAAATTTAATAAAATCTTAATATACTTAAATAAATTCAATTTGTACTAATTTTAAAAATCAATTAAAAATATTAGTTTTAAACATAGTTTAATTATTTTAAAATCAATTTAAATTTCATTTAAAAATAAGAAAAATTATAAAAACCTCCTTGGGTTTTCTAAAAATCCTATGAAACTCCCTAGTGTTTTGGCCTTAACAAAAACCTCCCATATTGTTTTATGAAAAGGTGCAAATACCTTCCTTTAGTTAGCATTCCAAATAAAAAATGTTGATTGTTGATGTAGTGCGTTTATTTACTTCACTTCAGCCATTATTCTTTGAAAGTTGTCTAGCAAAATAGATTAGTGGAGGATAAAGTTAAAACTTTAAATTATGTATGATAATGCATTAACAATGATAAGGGTATTTGGGTAACTTTAATGTGTTTATTACCAAAGAGCCAAGGGAAATAATGTATTTTCACTTTTTTTTTCCTCAAAACTACAGGGGAAGCCTTTGTTAGAGTCAAAACACAGGTGGTTTGAGATACAAAATTAATACACCAATAAAAATAATACACAAATAATAATAAACCAATAAAAATTAATAAAAAGTCTTTTCCAAAAATTAATAAAAATTAGCATTGAGATACAAAAGATAATACAAATTTATTTAGATAATGGGAAATTGACCACTCTCATTAATGGGCAACTTAGATTGTAATTGAATAAACTAAACATAACTCAAAAAAATAATACTTGAATTGAATTTAGATGGACACCGTTTAATTGAAAATGTCATAGAGTTCCAACTTCAATTTTGTTGATAAATAAAGCCTGTGTGTCACACGGGTCTTGACTAGTATATACAAATTAACTAGACTTTAATGTGATCGTTTTGGATCTGTATTTGAGTGAAAAATCTATAATTGTTTTAGATGGAAAGAATTTTGATAAATCAAAATTCATCCATAAATTTTAATAAATAATACGTGATTGACTACCATATTTTTATGATTTCAATTGATTGGTGAAACGTTTTTCGGATCATTATCTTTTTCGTATCATTGTCGAACCCGTATTTAAGATGCAGCATTGCGACTAATATTAGTGAATGATTTTTTTTTTAATTGGTAAACTGTTTCGTGTATGATTAGAACGAAAAAAAGAAAAAGAATTGTAAGCCTTATCCAAATTCAAAAGAGTGTTCAGAATCGGATCGGCTATAAAAATCAAAGGTTCATTAGTCACCGGTAGGACAGTCCGATTGGATCCGGGTTAGAAATTTCTGGGTTTTAATGTCATCGTTTAACCCACTTGGCCACTTTGTTTGTTTTTTTTTTTTTTGGTACAAAAAGTGAAAAACCCACTAACACTAGGCCACTTGGTGACTTGGGCAGTGTTTAATCCTCAGTGGTCCTCACGGTTTGATGGAATTATCAATGCGTCCAAAAGTTTTCCGTCGTTTCTCGTTGCTTAGCCAGTTCACTGTCACTGGTCACCGAGCTGTCTCCTTGGCTCTCTCTTTTAAATGGCTGCAACCGCTCCGATGCTCTCTCGAAATCCCCTGCATCATCGTCTGCAATTCCTCCTCTAGCCAACATGAGTTGCGTCAAAGAACTGTGCGATTCAAGAACCCTTACCTCCATTCCTTCCAACTACGTCTTCTCCACCAATCTCAATGATCAGGACGTGGTTGTTACAGAAGCCGAAGAAGTAATTCCCGCCATTGATTTCTCACTACTGACATGCGGTACTCCTGAACAACGGACCAAGATCGTCCGAGACCTCGGCAAGGCATGCCTTGAGTGGGGTTTCTTCGTGGTACGTAAAACACTGTAATCTCGAGTGACAGTACTGCTCCTAGTCCCCGAGAACCAATTAACCAATTCTCTTGTAATCAATTTTTAACATGATGATGGTGTTGTTATCTCTGATAGTTGATGGGTTGGGGATTGGAGTGCAGGTCATAAATCATGGCATGCCAGAGAGTTTGAGGAAGGCGATGCTGGAAGTGTGTCAAGATTTCTTTCATCTGGCGGAGGAGGAGAAGCGGGAGTACATGGGAAAGCAGGTATTGGATCCAATTAGGTGTGGCACCAGCTTTAATGCAACTGTGGAGAAGATTTTTTTCTGGAGGGATTTTCTCAAGGTGTTTGTGCATCCCCGATTTCATTCCCCCCAAAAACCACCCGCTTTCAGGTACTCCCAATTCCCAATTTATTTAGGGATTGAAATTTGAAAAACACAAACACAGGTTCACCACGACTCACGCACAACATGGTTTATTGTTCTATCCGTATCCGGTTCGACAAGGGGAAGGATCGGGTTGGCTACAGAGGTCGGCTTAGCTTAGATATTAACTTCTGGATTCAGTTTGGCATATGCATGCATCACTTTCTCTACCACTTCACGATCCCATAGTCCTTCCTTATCTCTGTTGCTGGCTTTTCAGAACCTGCCTACCCCTCCCCACTCCAACCCCTTCTTCTTCTACCATTATATGTTATGTGATTGCCATAGCCACCATCCAGTTTTCAAATTTGGCTTTAGCCATACCTGTCTTTGGTACATAAATTGTGCTCCAGTTAGGGAAAGTAGTGTTGTAAAAAATAGTAAATAGAAAGGCAGAATGGAACTTATCGTTTATCGCTTTTTAAATCGAAGTTGTTGTAGAAAGATGGAGGGTTGAGTCGTGCCACTTGGTCACTCTCTTTAAAACTGCATTTGTCCCTTATGGTGCAGTCGGGTGATTGCAAATCGATCGCCAAGATAAAACAGCCCACAGGCCACTAGTAGGCATGCACTCGCTTACTAGACCTCCGCAAATCACACAAGATTGGTGCTTAGATTTCTTAGAGAAAACAAGAATGTCGAAAATGGTGTATGTGTGTGTGTATAGACTGGGTCAGCCAATACTCTTCTTATAGAGTGTCTCAGACCCAAATGGACACAGAGGTGTCCTTTCAGACAGAAGCCTCTTCAGAATAGTGCACCTGTTCGAAGAGGCACAGGGACGAAGAAGAGACATGGAAAAAAAGAAAACAATTTATTTTAAAATTAAATTTGGATAAACAAAATGATTCAGTGCATCGCGCGCACACGCACCCGTGCCCACAGCCCGGCTAGGCTCGGCTCGGCGCGCACGTGTGAAAAGCAACCCCAACCCCCCTCACATGCATGGAATATCTATAGTCCTCTCCTCCTATGGGTCCCTACCCATAGAAGGAGCAAACCTACAAATATACTCCACTCCCACTCCTTCCTCAAGCAATGTGGGACAAATAGTCATTCAAGGGAGAAAAGGGCAAAAAACAAGAGAGGGAGGAGAAAGATTCTTGTAAATTTGAATCTCCCTCCAACAATACCCCACAAGATTCAAAATTACAAGAAGATCAAACAATTTGAGCATCGCAGTAAGAAAAGTATTCATGGTGATGTCTTTTGGAATTCAATCAACACTTAGGTATGGCAGGCTATGTTACAGAGTACGGGTGGAGTTAGACTCCTTCAACTTTTCCTCCTTATCGTAACTAGCTAACCGGCCAACCAACTTAACTCACCAGTTCTTTAGTGGTTTTTTTGTTTTGAAACATTTTGACCTTGTTCCCCTCTCGAGATCATGAGTGTTTTTGAGAGTCAACCCTAGATCTCCCTTAGAAGCGGCTACACTTCACACTCACTTAAGTCAGTTATTAGTGTGCACTACTCACACTATTCTTAACTGATTAAGAGCCTCATGCTCAACCTCCTCGGTTTGTAGTGAGCACTATCTTACCTCGGCATCTGAAATGAAACACAAATGATAGTGCTTTCACAAGTCATCTAGCGATTCGTTTTCACCCATTCAACCTAATTCCAGGGATCTCCTTTCACATAGGTTGGGTGTCCATCACTAATGACTTCGTAACGGGCTTCAGCCCCATTCCTATCGATGCCTCATAAACCACCTTAGAAGTTCATGGTTTGGTTAACGAATCTATAAGGTTCTTTTCAGACCTTACAAAATCCAGAGCGATCGTACCCTCGCTGAGGTATTGTCTTACCAGGTTATGCCTTAAGCGGATGTGCCTTCTTTTACCGTTGTACGTCTGGTTCTTGGCTCTAGCTATTGCTGCTTGGCTATCACAATGGAGAGATATGGATGGAACCGGCCGCGACCAAAGTGGTATATCTGCCAGCAAGTTCCTTAGCCACTCTGCCTCGAACCCGCCAATTATAATGCAATGAACTCGGCCTTCATTGTTGAACTTGTATTGCATGACTGTTTTACCGATTTCCACGATAATGTTGTAAATACGGTTTTAAGAATGTTGTAAAAAATAGTAATAGAGAGGCATAATGGAACTTATCGGTAATCGCTTTCCAAACCGAAGTTGTATTGGTGTGAAGTTATTGCAGGAACTTGAAATTGGGAATTGCAGGAAGTTGGAGGGCTGAGTCGTGCCACTTGGTCACTCTCCTTAAAACCGTATTTGCCCATTTGGTGCAACCAAGTGATCACAAACCGATTGCCAAGATAAAACAGTCCACAAGCCACTAGTAGGCGTGCACTCGCTTAACAGACCTTTGTGAACCACACAAGATTGATGCTCAAATTACTCAGAGAAAACAAGAATGTCAAAAATGGTGTGTGTGTGTGTGTGTGTGTGTATAGACTGGGTCGACCTGCACTCTTCTTATAGAGTGCTCTTAGACCCAAATGGACACAGATATGTCCTTTCAGACAGGAGCCTCTTCAGAATAATGCACCTGTTCGAAGAGGCACAAGGAGGAAGAAGAGACACAAAAAAAACAATTTATTTAAAAATTAAATTTGAATTTGAAGAGACACATTTTAAAATTGAAAATATGTAATTCGGATAAAACAAAATGATTCAATGCATCACGCGACGCACCCACACCCATGCCCACACGTGGCTCAGCTCAACATGCACGTGTGAAAAGCAACCCTAACCCCCCCTCACATGCATGGAATATCTATAGTCCTATCCTCCTATGGGTCCCTACCCATAGAGGGAGCAAAACTACATATATACTCCACTCCCACTCCTTTCCCAAGCAATATGAGAATAGTCATTTAAGGGAGGAAAAGGCAAAAAATAAGAGAAAGAGATGAGAGAGATTCTTGTAAATTTAAATCTCCCTCCAACAAATATAGCCACACACACTGTGTATGTTAATTGCATTTTGAAGACTCCCTTACTACTAGATCTAGTAGAGGTTGGTATACTCATAAGTTCCTTTCTTGTTTGATTCTTACTGCAGTGAGATATCTTGGGAATATTGCAAGAGAACAAGAGAAGTGGCTAGGCTACTACTCAGAGGGATATCTGAAAGCTTGGGATTGGAAGACTGCTACATTGATAAGGCGTTGCAACTTGACTCTAGCCTACAGATTCTGACCGCCAATTTCTACCCTCCCTGCCCACAGCCTGAACTTGCAATGGGCATGCCTCCTCATTCTGATCATGGTCTGTTGACCATTCTATTACAGAATGACATCAGTGGCCTTCAAGTACAACACAAAGGGAGATGGGTCCATGTTAACGCCCTCCCCAACTCTTTCTTGGTTAACACAGGGGATCATATTGAGGTAAATTCTTGGCTTCTCCTCGTTCTGTACAGGCTCCAATTAATGCTTTCTGCATGGATTATATTAGCTCCTTAATTTATTCATTTAGTTGCCATCCATCGTCCATTTTTATAGACCCATTTAATGCCAGGCCATAATCCAAACGCAAACTAATAATTATAGACGTTTCTTATCATATTAATATGCTCATTCACAATTATAAAAGAAAAAGAAATGTTAGTTTTGTTCTAGTCCAAAATAATGGAATTTCTTTAGGCTCACTTTGGTTTTGGGTTTGTGCTAGTGTAAACTTAGGGAAATGTGAATTGCTGATTGCAGATTCTAGTTTTACTTTTGCTTCAAATTCGATTTTGTCTTGTTTGTTTCATTGTTTGTGAGAATTAAAATGATGTGACCCCACTTTATGTGGAAAAAGAGTGGAGGGTCGTGGAAGATTATTTGTTCGAAAATAGTAAGATAGGAGGCAAATGATGTAATCCCCACTTTATATGAGAGATAATCAAGATAGAAGGAAACTGGTAATTGATGCAAAATTTGCAATGCAAACAAATGCAAATGAGACAAAAGTCCAAAATTTGTAATAAGCATAAATACAAATCAGAGTCACAAACAAATTGAAGCTTAACCAGAAACAAATCCATTCAAATGTCTCCTTGTTCAGATTTACACTGCAAACAAAAGGTGCCCTTTGGTGATCTTGACTCCATGAATTCACATTGTTCTTTTGTTTGCCAGATTAATTGAATTATGAATTATAAAATCACTCTCAATTCGTTTAGTTTCTTTCCATTCTTTGATTCTGTGCTCAACCCCTGACTTAATTTCAACATTAAACTCCCAACCTCTAGTTGAAACTAGCAGTATTTTCAAAACCGAAAAAACCGGGAACCGGTCTGTTTTACCCTAAAACCATTTTTAGTAAAAAATTATTGATTTGGTCAGTAAATTGTTGATTCAGGCGGTCAAACCATCAATCCAGACAATGGTTTTTAGTCCTTTTTTTTATTTTTTATTTTTTGTCAGAGCCGACCATTTATTCAGACCAAATGGTTGAACCGTTCAACTCAGGAACTGAACCCAGAATGGTCCCTGTTTGGTCCGGTTTTAAAAACCTTGGAATCTGGACATCTTTTGTGTTTTATAAATAGTTTCACTGATGGAGTAGATCCATATTTTAATGTGTAGGGTTTTTTTTTTTAAGTAATATGGATTATCAGATTTCTGTTTTCTTTGATTTTGTTCAATCTGGTTGCGTGATTATGTTCTGTTGTTAGACTACGTCTCTTACAAAGGTTTCTTCTGAACCTTGTACTGGGTTTGAAGTGCTAAAAGTTTATTCCTAACTTTTTTCCTGATGGCTTGATATTCATCATCCTCAGCCTACCTTAAATTAATCTATGGTTGTACAGGATCCAGAGTTGTGTTCACATTCTTATGAGATGTCTTTTGAGAGTGGGTAGAGGCAATTAATAGATTTATTAGAGTTGTGGAATGCAGCTCCATTAAGTTGTAGTGAATTCGAGGATCAAAATTTTGTAATAATAATTCTGGTATTGGCAGTACCACTTAAATGCAATAAGCCATCAATGATATAAAACATATCAACTCATAGAAACGAATTGGCCAGATAGGTTTACGGTATCATATGGGATTAAGTTGGTCAATACTTAGCATTTTTTTCGCGGATCAATTTTTTTTTTTATCGCCGTTCAAAAGAAAATTACTTAGCATTTTTCTCATTATTAGTGTTGATATAATTGAAGAGATTGAATGCATAGTTGTGAACCCTATGTATTTTATTATTGACATAAAACGTCATCATTGATTTCACAGCCTGCTGACCAGCTATTAATCCTTTCTCAAGATAAACAAGGATTTTCTAAATGTGCTCTAATCAAATTCACAACCTTACTATCATTTATTTATTTTCTATTGAGGTAGCTTGCCTGGTCACAGAACTCAATGGGTTATTAGGGCAATCTTTGGACAGAAAATGTCCCGACAATGAATATTAAAATACTTGGTTGACTTCTTTTATTTAAATCCCTGAACAAATCAACACATGACATATCAAGATGATTCTGAATTCTTTAAATGATACTAGCAGCCACTACTGTTCTATGACTGTTAATTTTTATTACAGCTAGATTTTCACTTCTTGATTAACTAAAAAGGGTATTTTCATGATCTGTTAGATTTTTGTTATTTCCAACTTGTTGCTAGATGATCATCTAATTTTGCCTAATAATATACCTCAATGATGTATTAATGTAAAAGGTTAGTAATGATATGGCACTGTTTGATCGAATAGAAAGTGAATGAAATAAATCCAAACAAAGGTGTGGAAAAAATGGGTGCTCATGACTTAGAAATAAAATGAAAAAGAAAGGATACGTTGTAAATATAACAGATTCTGGACATTAATTAGTTTATCTTATCACTACAAAGTACATATTTGTTATTACCATGGGGATGTTTGGAATAGTGGCCGTATTTTTTAAAAAATGGTGTCATGTCGATCTACATTTGAAACGCCATGTATTTCATTGTTTTGTTCAGTCGATTATTAAAAAATCGGACATGCCTCGAAAATCGAGACCCCATCTATGCATAAAACAACAAATTTGACTTTTCATGCATCAATAAATCGTTTCCCCCAACGGTTTACTGATGTATATCTTATATGATGCTTACCTGTCAGCAAATACATGAAAAATGGTGATAAAAATCACCTTACGAAACAGAATAGTATTACTCACTGCCTACGTGGCAAAAACATTTTTTTTTGTAAAAAACAGATATTAAAAGTATGCACATTTTTTTCTAGAAAATTGATCCAAAAAGCACTCCCACACTTCCAAACACCATGCATATGTGTGATTGTGTTCAGAGTTCACCTGTGACGGTCAAATTAACTGATGAAGGTATTATGGGTACTGAGGGTCCAAAATTTTAATTTGGTATTATGAAATGATCCCGTCCACCTATATGCAGCTATGTATGCTCACAATTTGTGTTTGGAATTATAATTATAGATACTAAGTAATGGGAAGTACAAGAGTGTGCTACACCGGGCAGTGGTAAACAAGGAAGCTACACGGATATCCCTTGCTGTTGTTCTTGGGCCATCTATGGAAGCCACTGTCACTCCTGCGCCAGAGCTGGAAGACAGTCATAATCCACCCAAATTTCGCGGTATGAAATATAAGGAATACTTGGAGCTTCAGCAGAGCAACCAACTCAATGGAAAATCATGCTTGGATCGAGTTCGAGTCCAATGTTGAGAGTTTAGGTGATGACTGTTATACATATAATTCTGAGTATATGAGACTTTGGAAATAGATACTTTCAGTTAGGGATGTCAATGGATTGGCATGGTTTTATTCCTACACTTATTTAATAAATTATAAGGAAGAGAGAGTGTGTGTATGTTACATGATACAATTATCTGAAGTCTGAACCAACAGCAACGCAGCGACATTAGAATACTTGAAACAAATAAAAAAGAAAGAAAAACTATGACCTAATGATACTAACAAGTCAGGTTCAAGTCAACTGACCCAAAAATGCTTAATAAGGTGGGTTTACCATTTAAGATGCCCATCCGCCATCTATATTTTCAGTTTACCCTAACATGGAAAGTAGATATGTTCATGGGTCGGGCCGGGTCGGGTTCGGGCCGGGCTTTGACTCTTTATTAACAGAAAAATGTTAGGCCTGAACCTGAGTCCGAGCCCGGCCCGACCAACGGGCCTACAACTTGGGCCTGAGCCTGGCCCTTAGAAAAAGTCCAAAGCCCGACATAATAAAAGAAATTCAAATTTTCCCCTATTCAAATAGACTATCTATTTTAATTCAGATATTTTTTCCCCTATTTAAATGAACAATGGGCCTACAAGTGAATCAACAACCTTCTCAAATCAAAAAATTTATTCAAATGGACATCACATAGGGTTTTTATTTAGGTTTAACTATAGGTCAGGCCAGATTTACTTAGGTTTAACTATAGGTCAGGCCGGGCTATTTTGGCAAAACCCGAGCCCGACTCGAATTTTATGCGGGCCAGACTTTTTGGCCCGAAGTTAAGCCCACAGGCCAAAAAGCCTGTTCAAACCCATCCGGGAGCCGGCCCGGCCCGTCGGGCCACCCGGCCCATGAACAGGTATAATGGAAAGTAATAATCCATCAAGACCGAAAACGTTCTTTCAAGAGAAGAAAGAGAAAATCAATCCCATTGATTATATGTCAGTGTCTGTATTACTTATTAGGTCCAAGTCCAACCCCCCTGCCCGGAGCCCCCACCCCCAGGTTGAATGGGGCTCACAAAAATAATGCCTGAAAAAAAAAATCATTTTCTTTGATTCGAAGTTTTGAACATCTCCGGGTTCAATGAATTCCATTAAATGAGAGTATGAGTGACATTAATGAGTTTATGTACAGGTTGATGTTGTGTAAGGGTGTCAATTGGACTGGATTCAGTCCAATGTGAGTCTATTACAAGTAGATCAGGTTCAATCCAATCCAATAGATATTTTAGACCATTTTGGATCGGTCCAATTCAATGTCTGAATTGTTCAATCTGTTCAAATTTATTTTAATTTAGATTTATTTCAACTTAAACCCAGTCCATTGATGCCTATATTCTTATCTTATATCAACGGATCAAATTTTGGTTTAATCCAACCTAATTCAACATAAATTTATTATAGACAGATGAGGTCCAATCCAATCTAATAAATATTTTGGACTAATTAGTCCAATCCAATATGTGTTGTTGGTCCATCCAATCCTTCCAAATTAATTTTGGACTGAACGAGACCAGTCCATTGACACCCTTAGTGTTGTGTAAAATTATCTAAAATACAGAGTAATTGACAGGTCAACTGCTTTGAACATGTGATGATATGAACAACTCCAAGGTCCAAAAAGACTCTTTTTCGCAGCGTTTCAGCGAATGGCCCTCACACATGGCGCTCACTGGTGTCTGTCTTTCTTTTGTTTTTGAAAAATATTTATTGTCTGAGACGGTTTTTGAAATTCAAGTGGATTAATTATTATTTAACCGCCCAAATCGCGTTGTGAAGCAAGAACTGTTGCTTCTAAATAGTCTACCGTCTGTGCAACGACGTAAAGTAATGGCCCACTACTTGCAAGTTGTAACAACTATGAGACCAATGAACCAACCGAAACAGGAGAACGAATTGGTTAGCTTTCGCATCAGAAAAAGAAACAGGATTGCTTTGGTTAACTACTAATTTGAGTCATTTGACAAACCTGCAAACTGTCTGAATTGATTATATATATATATATATGAAAAAAATGCATAAATAAAAAAGAAAAAAGAGAGAATTTTAGCTCTGGAGTGTAACCATGCATCTTTGAAGAAGATGATTCACATGAATTTTCCTATCAGTGTCAGATCATTCGGTTCATCACTTGTATCCAGTATCGTGACATACGTTATTATTTTATTTTATTGTATTAATTTAAATTATTATAATTATACGACTTTTTCTATACGTTTAATATTATAATGTCAATTCAAACGTTTGATAGAGAAGTCTTCCGTGTCAAACACATCTTACACGCTGCAGCTTAGGAAGACTGAGCAACGTCTATTCTTGTGATATATGTACTTAGGAGAAAAAGAAAAAAAGAAAACCCTTTTCTTGTTCGCTTTTGAATTAATAAGAAAAAATTGAAAATAAAAGGAGGATAAAGTATTCATCATCCAACCAGCCGGCCAGCCCATGGCATCAGCTGATTAGGATAAGAATCCAATCCAATCCAATATAAAATTGATGTGATGTAGGAAAGTGATGAATAATATTTAAGCCTCAAGCCTCCTAATGATCTGATGAATTTTCATACATCATCTAGCGGTTGTGGTTGTTAATTTAGAATATACCTCTTTCATTTTCTTGGAGGGGCCCTAGCGTTGCAGGGGCAAAACATGATGAGGTAAGTGGTTTGTAAAAAGGTAAATTACTATATATTTAATTTAATAAAATAAAACAATAAATAAATAATCATGATTATCGGGCAATAGAGTGAAAGAAGGAGAGATGACTTTTGTCATTGTATTTTTGTTTTATATAGTGGAATAAATGTAAATAGTTAAATAATAATTAATTTAATTTAATAAATAAATAAATTTAGTAGAATAAATGAGATAAATAGACAATCAAGTGAGAGTAAATATATAAATATATACATAATTCCATGTCTTACTGTGCTAGCAATAATAATTTGTTAGATTATTAAATTATTAACTAATTAAATAATTTAGTAAAACAAGTTAATAAATAAATAAAACTTTATATATTATCAACACAAGATTGGTAAAGGTTATCTCAAATTAATTAATTAATTAATTTAGCGTTGTTAATGGTTTCGACTAAAGTATCGGGTTATCAAGCCTATGAACAGTCTTAGCCCTGTTTGTGGCTTGGCCTAGCCTAAGACTTAGCATGCATACCAGCCCGGCCTATGGCACGGCACGGGCCCATGTGGGCTCAGGCTAAAACAAAAATTTTAGTTCTTTTCTATTTTATGTTAAATTTTTCATTATTTTTTTTCAAATTTTTAAAAAAACATGGTTTAGCCCGATTTGTGTCACAACATGGCACGAGCCCATGCATTCTTGAACCATATATTATATACAATAATTATATAATAAAAATTTTATTTTCAATTTTATTATTGCATATATAAACAATTGTATAAATCAAAATTCTTATAAAATAAAATTTTGAGATCTTTTTTATTTTTTATCTATTTTTTAATTTATGTTAAAATTTTCATTATTTTTTCAAAATTAAAAAAAAAAAAAGCATGGGTTAGCCCGATTTGTGGCCCAGCTTAGCCTAAGACTTGGCTTGCGAACCAGCCTAGCCCACAACACAACACAGGCATGCACGGGCTTGGGCCAAGAGCTGTGTCGGGTTGACCCCCCTAAAGTATCCTAGGGGAGGGAAACACGGCCTGGCATAAAATGGCCCACACGGCACGGCCCAACACAGCCCAATTGATCACATTCGGTAAAAAAGATTAATTCCATAAACTTATATTTTCATGGCAAATAATTTAGAAATATGTAAAATAATTAAATAAGAAAATCTTCACCTACCCAACTTCAACTTCAACCATTAAGGAGGCCAAACCTTCCAAAAATCTTATTTTACCAACGACAAAGCAATACGTTTTTCAGATCAGCCACTACCAAACAACCTCCAACAAGAAAATTTGATGCCCAAAATAATAAAGCCGCCTGGATCTCTCGTTTCATTCAATGCCATATATATTCCATACTTAGCATCAATTAGGTTCTCATTCTATAAATAATGGACAACATAACCAGGCAAACCATTCCCATACAAGGCAATTGTTTCATCTTAAAGCCACCTTCCCTGCAATCCTCATCATACAATTAGCCAATCAATTCCAAACATGCAGACAGAATACTAAATAAGAAAAAAGGAAATTATGAGACAAGTCATTTAAAATTCACACCATGCTTCCAAGCTCATAAAACACAATTACCCAATCAATTCACACCTATCCCGAAGTGGATTCAAATCCTCTTGACTTGGATATGTAGCAACTTAAGAGAGAATTAGGGTTCGTCATCAATTAACACCTATTCCAAAGTGGATTCGTTAACCTTACAAATCATAACTGACCTAAACGTATTACACATGGTTATGGTTTGCATCTTGAGTTCCAAATATAGGGTTCATTCTGTGTTTGAATTTTATTGAATTTCTTTGTATAGAAGTGTGGCACAGATTTTACCTGTCTTAACCAAAATGACAACACGACAATAACAAAGTTTAGAAAAATGGTTAAAACCTATATGGCAATAGGTTGTTAAGTTGAAATCAACAACACATGGAATTCCAAAAAATAAAAGGAACTCTTTAATAGGCTTTTCGTAACAATATCTATACAGTTTCTGAGGTTAAAATAATTTAAAAATTAAAACATACTGCCAAGATAGTTAGGTCCATAGAAATAAAAGAAATGAGACTAAAAAAAATACCATGAAGATACTGGTCCATAGACATGTCTGTAGATTAAGAACAAACCCTCCAAAATTCAAATATTTCAACAAAAAAAGAATTCAGTCCACTTTACATTAGATAATACAAAATATAAACTTCCTTTTTTAAGTGAAAGCCCTTTTAATTAATGATACTCTTGATTAAATTGAGTTATTTGTAGACTTAATAATAAACAGATTTAGATACCAGCAAAAATAATAATAAACAGATTTAGAAACTAACATGGACAAATGAGAAGTAGATTTAACGACCAATAGCATTAACCCAATACCAGAATAACAAAAGTTAGCCACCTCCAAGCATTAGATACCATGCCCAACTTTGTCTATGATGCAACCATGACATTGACAATCAAACTAAAACAATAGGAATAAAAGACAAAATAAAAATTATAAACATCTCAAGCTCAACCAAACAAATTCAAGAAAATGCCAATCAAAAAGAAGAAAATGGGAGAGAAAAGATTAAGATTCATGAAAACACAAAAGACATCCTCACTTTGCTATAGATTCCTACAAATGGGAGAATAGGTGAAGTTAAATAAGAAAACAAATCAGAAAAAAGAAAAAGAAAAGTGGAAAGCAACAAACAAGGGTAGAAGCTGCACCAATATTTTAACTGTAACGTTGCTTGCAATTGAGCCATCATATTACAAAAAGCAGTATGTCCGAAGTAGAAGAAAAATACATTGGATTCAAAGTACAAAAAAGTTTACCGAGAAGAAATGATAGGGATCCACATTAAATGAAACTCGGAAACTCAAGGCAAATAACCCATATTTCCTATAACACATGACTTCATAGAACTGGGCAGTATCAAACCTGGCATATTTCTCGGAGACAAAGTTGCTAGTACATGTGTACCAATTTCTAAAGAGAAGAGCTTATTTTCAAATTTCAAATGAATCCCAAATAGAACTCAACATTGGGATATATAATTTTTCCATTTTTTGCAACAAAGATTAGATAATCTAACAGCAACTTTGGTAGAATCAACCGACTACCATAAAGCAGCCAAATTAAATAAAATATATAAAGACTCATTAAAGCATAGCTAATTGCATATTTGCATGTTGTGTGCCTATATTATTGGAGAAGCACAAAATAAAAGGAAGGACTATTTTTCAGAGAAGATACAGAAAATAATCCCTAATCAAGCATAATAGTTTTACACAAGGGCATGAAGAATTTATTAATAGAGATTAAATTATATGTTTTTATATTTAAGGTTAATAGTGGCAAAATGTTAAATTAGTTATTGCTTAGGATAATCACCTATCAAACTCTAGGAATATAATTATTTTACTACAGAAATTTAATGCAACCTAATATAAAATGCTCCATCAAAAATATCCAATTGCAACAACACCTTATAGGGTAAAGCTATAAGAGGTAAAAATTTTAAAAAAATAATTTATTTAAAATTTTACACAAAGTTCAATGATTAATGAAGGTATCCTAGACTTGTACAGAATCATATCCCCATCTCCAAGTTGTTACCATGATCACCACCTCTATTCGGCATCTACCTCTACCACTACGTTTGTAAACGGTATTCGAAAATTTGAATTAGAATTCGAGATTCGGTTTAATTGAATTAAATTTGGATATACACTGATCTGATCCGATAAAATTCAAATCGATTATATATATTATATATTATATTATTATATATATTATATATAATATAATAATGTATTATATTATATTATATAAAAGTTAAAAAAAATATGAAAAATAATATTAGTTTTAACTCTTTCATTTTATCTCTCAAAAGAAAATAAAAGTCAAAAACTAAAGTCGAACATTACATTCGAAGTTTTGAATTCATTTTACCTCTCAAAACCATAGAAAACCCTAGCCCTTCGTCCGTCACTCCCTTCGCCATTGCTGGTTGCCGCCCGAGCAACCACAATTGGTCCATCACCGATCACCCCCTCATCATCCGACCAACCACCATCCATTTGTTGGAGCTCGAACGCCACCATCGCTCATCTCGTGTCTCGTCTTTCCTCTTAGGCTCTTACCTCTATCTCTCTTTTCTCAGTCTCTGACTCGCCGCCCAAGCAACCACCATCACCGACGGCATCGCCAATGATAGTGGTCGAGCACCGATCATCAACCATAGCTCAAGCTCAGAGCTCAAGTTCAACGCCGTCTCTTTCGCCTAATCGTTCGTTCGTTGCTGCTCAAGCTCAAGCAACCCTCAAGCTTCAACCGTCTAGCATCACCGGCTTTGTGCTGCAACCCACGACTACTGATGGGAACCCATTGCATTCGCACCGCCGAGAACCCACGCTTACCGTCGTCCCCTCCCTCTTTTCTCAAGGTGATTACAAACTTACAAGTGGGAACTCATCGCATTTGGTCGAATTCGAATTGATGTATTTGATATCCATCGGATATCAAATCGAATTCGAATATCAGTAGCTATAATCAGTTTCAAATTCGAATCTAACCTGATTCGATTCGAATTTGATCCATTTATAAGCCTATCTACTACCTGCAAGCAATAAAATAAATTCAAAAGCAAAAAATAACATAAACAACTTTACATATGACCAGACATAGAAAGAACATACATGCATTTAAGAGTGGAAATGTTAGATGATATATATGAGAGGCACAACAACCACCTCCAAGCCTACAATATATAACAAAAAAAAAAAAATAGTATGGTTCTTGTTGCTATTTGACCAAAATGAGAAGTAATGCCTAAAAACACACCTACATCAAACCCTAGATCCCCCTACACCAAAAAGACACTTACATCAAACCCTTCTGAAACAACCCAAAGAAGCACCAAATAACCTAAAAAAAAACACTTAGTTCATTAATGGGACAGCTAATGACGAACATTTCGTCATTACCAAAAAACCAAACCTAAGAGTGGGGTTCTCACAGCTATAACACCCAAAACAAAGAGGCGCCTGCTCCAAAACCTGCAACCAAAATAACAAAAATTTTAAAAAAAATGGAGCAAACGAAAAGAACATTAATTGAACAAGACGAAACCTGTGGGTGGAAAGCAAATACTAAAAGTCACATGAAGGAAATTAGAGCAAATAAATGAACCACAAATTGCAAGAAAAACCTTGGTTAGTAAGAGAAGAGATCCTGTAGACTGTAGTCTACCATGCCTTCTCCCATCGCCAATACTTATCTCACAACCCTGGAAAAAAAATCAAAGAAACAAATAGCTGAACAAATAAAGAAAAAAAAATGAGGAAAGAAAAGAAGAAGAGATAAATACAAAACCCTTACAAAGAATATAAGCCTTTGCAAAAGAGGAATGCAACCAGACTATCCAATGGGAGTTGGAGATAGAGGGAAGAAAAAATAGAAGAACGAAACAAAACCCTGGCCAGTTTTCGTTAGTCTTCAAACGTTAGCCGATTCCCGTCAGTTCTCAAACGTTTGTTCGTTGACAATTCAGCTGCTCTAAACATAGTCTGGCCAGTTTAGGATGGCTGAAAAAGAGGGAGAGAGACGGGTGAGACTCAAAGTGTGATTTTCTCACATGCTCACCTAACCCGCACGGGCTAAAAAGCTGGCTTTTTTCACACAACATTCGCACGCATAAAACCCATTTCGTGACCGCAGAAGCTGTCCTTGGATACCATTTCTTGGATGGGGAAGGGATCGACCGTACCCCATTTTGCTTTTAAAATACATATAAGATTTCAACCTTTTTTTAATGGGCTGTACAACAGGGAGCAAGCAGTCCTCCAAACCCCTAGACCCCCTAACCCAGGTGAAGGCAAGACTTAATCTCAGGTATTTGCTACAACCAGTAAGAGGTGTCAATTGGACCAGATTTGGTCCAATCTGTTCAAATCGGTTTTAATTTAGATTGGTTTCAGTTCAGACCTTGTCCAGTGACATATGTATTCTTATCTTCTATCAATGACTAAACGTTGATTCAATCCAACCCAATTCAATAAAAGTTCATTATAGACAGACCTTATCCAATCCAATTCAATAAATATTTTGGACCATATAATCTGGACTGATCCAATTCAATATGTATTATTAATCTGTCCAGTTTGTCCAAATTGATTTTGATTTGGACAGATCAGCCCAAAACTACTCTGTTAACACCCTTACAAGTTACAACCAGTTGACACTTTACCAGCAGGTTAGCCGCACTTGAAAAGAAACTTCAATCCACGATGTTTTTTTCCCCTTCCTCTCCCCCTTTAATTCCAGATTCCAGAAAAGGCAATTTCATTCCTGATGCGGGTTAGCTTGGCCCAGCCCACCAAGGGCTGGGTGGCCCAACCCACTAACGCCTGACAGTATCAGCCACCGTAGGAGGGAGCCCTGTTGCCTTCGTACAAAGCCAATCAGATTACGGTCAGACGTACCCATCAGGGCCTGCAGCCTGACCTCATACGGCTCTCATCCGGAGCATTCATCTTTACCTACCTCCAGCACGCTCAAGTATAAATAAAAGGTAACTACCCCTTAAAGGGGATCCGGAACAAAAAATCCTAACAAAGCTCACTCATTTACTCCATGCACCTACCTTGCCTCCTTAGCATTTACTCTGGGAGATCTGGTGCATCCGAGGACTATCGCCAAGGCCTCTCCTATTTTACACCCCGTACTAACTTGAGTGTCAGAGCCTCTACCTTGGGTACTCGCCCGAGGCGTTTGACATTCCCTATCTTGCAGTATCTCTGGTCACCAGGGACTCTGCCTCGGACTACAGTCCTCGGTTACCACGGTCCTCGGAAGGAATACCTTGCCTCAGCTTGCGGTCCTCGGCTTCGGCTCACCTCTTCCGAGGCCTCAAAGTCCTCAGACAACACCTAGAATCTAAAGAGTGAATTTACCTTGTTGCCCCCAGCTAATCCGTGCGGCAACAATTGGTGTCTTCTATGGGAACGGTTGCAAAGACGACCCCCACTTTAGGATACAAAAAATAATAAAAAAATATACTCTAAATCCAAACCCCTTAAGCTTGAAAACCATGGTGAGGAGAACTAGGAACAATCAGAGCCTGGTCACCTATGAGCACTTTTAGGTTGTCATCGATCGTTTGGACTACCTCACCCAACGAATGGAAGAAGTTTGCCCCCAAGCAGAGGTCCCTCTCAAGGTGACTACCCCGCTGGGGTGTCAGAGGATCAGGGCCGACACGGGAACGTTGAGCCACTGGCCCTCAGCCATGGTAACCCGTTGGCTGAGCCATTAGAATTGGGCAACAACCGCCCCCGAATTCACCACGAAGACCCTCCTAGCCAAAGGGAGAGCATGCCCACTCAATCCGATGACAGTCAACAACCTTTGGAGCAACACCACCGCCATCGGAGGGAGGCCCCCGGGACGATGGTGAGCGCCTCGGCCGCCCTGGAGTTCGCTCATGAGGCGAGAGCCGACGCCACGCCTGAGCCAACACCCACCGAGTCCGCGAAGACAAAAGCGAGGCCCATGCCCGTGCTGACCCGGGGCTTGCCGAATTGCTAGCTGAGATTGGGGCCGCCAAGGATGAGCTTCGCCAAGTTAAGGAGAGCCGAGTCCATGCCTTAATCAGTCACGGCAAATTCGTCGGTCGCATGGATGCATTCACCCTGTAAATCATTTTGGAGCCTCTTCCCCCACACTGGAAACATACGATGGGAGCACCGACCCCGATGACCACCTGGAGGGTTTCAGGCCGCTCATGATACTGTACGGCTATTCTAACGGCTTGATGTTCCAAGCCACCTTCAGGGGGGCGGCTCATCACTGGTTCTCCAGCCTACCTCCTCGATCAATCCGCTCGTGGGAGCAATTTACAACCTTGTTCCTCGCCCGCTTCATCAAGAGTAGACGATGCAAAAAGAGCTTAGTCTCTCTGATGTCGCTCAAACAGGAGCCGATTGAAAGCCTGCGGTCTTATATTGACCGCTTTAAGAGAGAAGAACTTGAAGTTTGAGACCTCGACCCTATGGTCTCCATGCATACAGCCATCAACGGACTCCACCCTCCTGCTCGGCCCTCAAGTGCTCGGTCGCTAAGACCCCACCGAAGACTAAACTCGAATTCCTTAAAAAGGCCTAAAAATACATCACGACCAAAGAGGCTTCAGCCGAGGACAACCAAGAAAAGACAATCGAGCGCCATGACGGGCCCCCAGAGAAGAAGAGGAAAGGCGGGGACCAGCGCCACCCCAACAACCATGGCGGCAAAGACAACAAGAAGCCATCGGCTCCGGCCTTAGCCTACAAGGACTACACGCCACTCAACTCCACCCGCACTCAGATACTGATGCAAATAAGGGAAGAGAAGTTTGTGAAGTGGCCAACGAAGCTAAAATGGAACCGCAAGAGGGGGAACCCTATGAAGTACTGCAAGTACCACCGCGGCACTAGGCATGACACCGAGGGCTACTACGATCTAAAGAACGAAATAGAGTCCCTTATCCGCCGCGGACATCTCAAGCAATTCGTCGGAGGAGAGGCTGCCACCTTGTCCTCCCAACAATAGCAGTAGTAGCGGTAGCATCAGCAAGTGGCAGGCGTCATCGACGTCATCGCTAGGGGCATGGCCTTGGGTGGAGTCTCGGCCTTGGCTCGAAAAGCCTACACTAGGCAGCCTAACATCCAGGAGCCTGCCGCAAAGAATCAGAAGTACCCAAACGCTCCATAGAGGCCGAACTGTCCACATGCCCTCATCTTCACTGACGATGGCCTAAAGGGGGTCACAATCCCCCACAACAATGCCCTCGTGGTTGTAGCCATCATCTCCAATTTTATGGTGAAGAAGATCTTGGTGGATAGTGGCTCGTTAGCCGATATCCTTTTTTATGACACCTATGAGAGAATGAAGCTCACGCCAGAGCAGCTCTAGCCTGTCGACGCTCCCCTCGTTGGCTTTTTCGGTAGCGTCGTCTGGCCGGAAGGAAAAATTACCCTACCAATCACGGTAGGGACAATGCCACACTAGGTGACCTGGATGTATGAGTTTCTGGTGGTAAAGGATGCCTCTTCGTACAACGTGATAATGGGAAGACCAACCCTTCATGTACTAGGGGCAACCATATCCTCCTATCGCTTGGCCCTCAAGTTTCCCACCGAGAACGGCGTCGGAGTTGTTCGTGGGAACCAGCAGACCGCCCACCAATGCTACGTGGCAACGCTAAAAGGAAAGAATAAGGAGGCCCTGTCATTGGAAGGCCTTGACCTCCAAGAAGAAATAGCGAGCCGAGGCTAGCCCGCCGAGGACCTCGTCTCGGTTCTCCTGGATGAGTCGGCCCCAGAAAAGACAGTCCGCATCGGGTCCAACCTTCCCTTGAAAGCCTATCTGAACTGGTAAGCTTCATCAGAACTAACGCTGACGTCTTTGCTTGGTCCGCCGCTGACATGCCCGGAATTGACCCCTCGGTCATTACTCATAAGCTGAGTGTGGACCCAAGCTCTAGGCCAGCCCTGCAAAAGAAGAGGAACTTTGCACCGGAATGACGGAAGGCCATAGGAGAGGAAGTTGATAAGCTACTCGACGTCAGCTTCATCCGTGAAGTACATTACCCCAACTGGTTGTGTAACATGGTTTTGGTAAGGAAGGCTATGAAAAATGGCAAATTTGAATTGACTTCATAGACCTTAATCGAGGCTGCTCGAAGGATAGTTTTCCTTTGCCGAGGATAGACCACCTCGTCGATGTCACTACAAGGTATGAACTACTCAGCTTCTTGGATGCCTTCTCCAGGTACAACCAAATCCAGATGCACCCCGACGGTGAGGAGAAGACATTTTTCATCACTGAGCGTGGCACATACTGCTACAAGGTAATGCCGTTCGGCCTTAAGAATGTAGGGGCCACCTACCAGCGCCTTGTCAACAAGGTTTTCAAGAATCAGATGTGGAAGAACGTCGAAGCCTTTGATACTCACTCCATCTGCACTTTGGAGAGCCCTTGTCGCGCCTCCTTCAATTTAGCCTCGAGGCGCTTCAAAACTGATTGCTCATCTAGGGGCACCTTTCGGAATTTTTGGTACTTGTCTTTGGTGGCGGCGACTGCCTTCTGGAGCTTGTCTCGTTCCTTCTGGAGCTTCTCCTTGGCGGCCTTCTTCTCCTTCTCTATTTTGTCAACACGAAACATAGCCAGTCTTATTCGGTCCCCCAAACCGGCGAAGTGCAGACAGACCTGCCGCAAAACCGATTAGCAAACCAAAGAGTAGGGAGAGAAGAAAGCGCGAAACCGAAGAACACCTTACCTCAGCCAAATGGTACAGGCCCTTGTCGTGGATGGCCTTGGGGTCGCTTTGCAGTAGACGATAGCGATCCCTCGGCAGGATGGACCCACTCACTAGTTCTTGGCAGAGTCCTCGTCTCGAATGGAGTCTCCCTCTTGAAGCCGCCATTGTGGGCAAAAGGTCTTCACATCCCCCTCGATTCTCTCGAGGAGCCCCTGTACTGATGGAGGGGCTGACAAAGGCCCGGATGGGCGCTCCCCGAGCATGGACCTCTGCACCACCTCCTCACCCTGCTTATCAGTGTTGGCAAGCTTCCACGAAGGCTCCTCCCTCGGCGTGTCTACAATGGACCTCTTTCTACCGGCCTCGGGCTCATCTGTGGGCTTCTTCAATGCCTCAATCCCGGTGGTGGGCTTCTTCAGCGCCTCCATCGGCTTCTTCAGTGCCACCACCGGCTGCTTCCCCTTGGTGGGAACATGTGGATCTCCCCCCTTCGCCGAGGCAGGGGAGGCAGCTTCATCATCGGGCCTCTTCGGCGTTTGCCCTTCGGCTTTCTTCCCAGCCTGCTTCGCCCGGGACTTCTCCAACAAATGCTGCTTAGCATCCATTGACATTTTTGCAAAACCACAAAGGAAAACAGTTAGTACATTAAAGTGAAAAAAAAATAACGTGGAAGATGCACTAACCACATAACCTCTCCTACCAAGGGGGGCTGGGCTAATCCCAGCGAAGACTAGGGGACCTCCTCCTCCACCAATGGCTACGCTTGGAATGTCCCCTTCAAAAGCAGGTGAGATACAACTGTAGCCTCTTCATCTCGAAGTGATGGGGGACATCCCTTGACAATGATGCAGGCCTCCTCCCCAATCGAACCTAAAATGCCAGCCCTAGAAGAACTTATCCTTCCACCCATGAACGGACGAGGGGTTATGCACAGGCTTCCCCCTTCTCGGGTGGAAGTAATACATGTTAGCCTTGGAAGCGTGCTTCCTCGGCGCGAACATGGCATGGAACAACCTCAACGTCAACTCCACGTCCTTGAGCCGAACCCACACCATCATCACCACGATGGTTCTAAGGGCATTGGGTATGAGTTGGCTGATAGTGATGTTGTACCGCTCTAGCAACTCGAAGATTAAGGAAGGGAGGGGAAACCTAAGGCTAAACTCCAAAAAGTGCTGGTAGACACAGATTTCCCCCTCTTCGGGGGTCCACGGCCGATCACTCACATCAAGGACCCTCAGGTCATAAGACTGGGGTATGTTGAACCTCCTCACCAGGGATTTGACCTGGCACAGGTCCAAGGAGCTGTCAAACTCCAAACGCGGGACTCCAGCATCAACCACCCTTCGGGCAGCACTCCCTCCCACTAGTCTGGCGACAAGTTCCACGACATCATCCTCGGAGAGAGGAGATAACTCAGGCTCCCTCGACGACACTGAGGCGGCTCTTTCATGGGGAGAGTCATTCCCCCGGTAACTGCCCTCAACACCCCCTGAGATTAACCTTTCCCTGAAAACGGCCACCTCCCGTCGAAGGGGCGCTACGGCTAAGGAAACCAAGGAAGACAGGGGGAGCAGGTTGTAGGAGAGCTCCCTCCTGAGATGTTCGGGAGTTCATGTTATTCAGGGGCAGAATCTGAAAATGACATATTTGATTACCTAAGAGAGGGCAAAATGTCCCGAAGAAAAGAAGAAATAGGAAAATTCCGGAGAATTGAAATTTGGGAGTTGTGTTCACTCGAGAGCAAGGGCATCTAAGTTCAAATGAAGGAGAAAGTCATTGCCAAGGCCCTTATTTAAAAGAAAATTGACGGCCTGGATCTCTCCAAATCCGACGGATGAAACAAATCCGTTCCCACCGTCTAACTGTGATGCGCCACCTGACGCTCGGCCTCGGAAGACAAAACGATGCCCAAAGAAATGGTTTAGATCAACGCGAATCCAGCGAATGCAAGAGCCCTCCGCTCATGCAAACCAGTCCCGCTACACATCCTAGCGCGTGCCCTCGGAAGGCGAAACAACGCCGGGTGGCCACGAAGATCTTCCGTGGCAGCCCACCGAACGAACCGCAGGGCCCACCCATCGTGGACCACCGGGCGTACCGCTCAACCCGGCAAATGCACGACCACTGGGACGACCATCCCCTGCATGGTAGCCCCCCGAATGTGACCTGCCCATGCACGATACGGGACACCTCCGCCAAGCCGGGGCATCCACATCACACGGGTTTCCGAACCAAAGAGGGACAATGCAAATAGCGAAAATGACACCACTGCAGGACATCCCTCAGCTGACGAATCCAAAGGCATAATGACCACTACTCCCAACGACCGAAGCCGATGCCTTACTTCGACTACTACCCTCATTACCAGCCAAACCGAGGCCTCACCTCGGTCTCGGGAGTGGAGGGCAAGTGATGTAGGTTAGCTTGGCCCAGCCCACCAAGGGCTGGGAGGCCCAACCCACTAACGCCTGACAGCGTCTGCCACCATAGGAGGGAGCCCTGCTGCCTTCGTACGGAGCCAACCAGATGACGGTCAGACGTACCCACCAGGGCCTGTAACCTGACCTCGAACGACTCTCATCCAGGGCATTCATCTTCACCTACCTCCAACACGCTCAAGTATAAATAAGAGGTAACTGCCCCTTAAAGGGGATCCGGTACAGAAAATCTTAACACAGTTCACTCATTTACTCCCTGCACCTACCTTCCCTCCTTAGCATTTACTCTAGGAGATCTAGTGCATCCAAGGACTATCCCAAAGGCCTCTCCTGCACCCTCTCCTATTTTACACCCCATACTAACTTGAGCGTTGGAGCCTCTGCCTCGGGTACTCGCCCGAGACCTATGACATTCCCTGTCTTGTAGCATCTCTGGTCACTAGGGACTCCGCCTCGGCCTATAGTCCTCGATTACTATGGACCTCGGAAGGAATATCTTGCCTCGACTTGCAGTCCTCGACTTCGGCTCACCTCTTCTGAGGCCTCAAAGTCCTCAGCCAATACGCGGGATCTGAAAATGAATTTACCTCATTACCCCCGACCAATCCGTGCAGCAACAATTCCTATTTATTTCAAGTGCAAGTTTTTCTTATTTGAAAATGGAAAATATATATAGAGTAATTGACAGATATGTTACATTTTTTAACTATTTAATGAATTCTCTTATGTGAAGTTAATATATAATTAGTTCTCTTTCTCTCTTCTCTCTCCCCAATAAGTATAACCATAGATGTAGTAGTCTTGAATTTCTAGTTTAAGAAATAGGATTACTTCTTGAGATAATGTTATGTTGATAGAGATCTTGGCCTACTGCATATTAGTCCAAGTTTCTTAGTTTTAGTTGTTTATATTTTTGACGTGGGTTGGCATGACATGTGGAAACTTTAACGGGGTATTTAGAAAAATGTACGATTTTATTTTAAAAACAAAAACAATTACCACAACAGTAGGGGAATCAGGGATTAGGGCAGCAGACCGAGAGTAGCATGCTGAACATGAATTAGGGCAGAATTCAGCTTGGATTGGAAGATGATTTTGAATTTTACAGCTAGCTATGACCTATGCTCCGGAACCCCCGGAAGAAATTCTCTTATAAATCCCCATAACTCATTACTTGTATGATTATTAAATTCATCACACATGAAGGTGGAACCCATCTAAATTTAATATATGGTTGGTTCTGATAATTAGGAGTTAAGAAGAGAGATAGCAATGAAAAGCTCATCCGGAGACCAGTTGCAAACGCACGCCGTACTTCGGTCTTCAGGGATCAGATGGACCTTGGCCATACATAATTAGCCAAATTTTATGTTTTTAAACCATCTGATTTATCCATCCTTTACTGTACTTGCTACTTCAGATTCACCTAAATACACCAAGTCAATGGGACCCACCTTCCCAATCTTATAGACAACATGAGCTATGCGTGGCAATATAAGTATTGCTTGAAAGGGCCACTCCCCCATGCTCATCCTTTCATTCCTTCGTTCCCACTCCTCAGGCCCAAAATCCAGCCCGTAAGCC